GCCATTTTGGCTCAAAAGTCTTGCAAGGGACCACGACTCTTTAGCACATACGTGCTGCGCCTGGCAGCTCATCACACGTGCCCGCCCAATCCCCACGCTTCCATGACACAAGAATGGGGTGGCAAGCAGCGCTACTGTTCTTGGTCTGGTGCCTGGCGGCACACGAAGAAACACAACAAACGGGACCGGCAAGAGAAGAGAGAACAGAGAAGTTCCACCCGTATTTCTTGAATCCTATGGCCCTATGGGTATGCCAAACCATAACTGTTTGTCCCCTCGCTTCGGGGACGGGAGCTTCCGCAGAGACGTGCTTCCGCGTGTTTCCTCCCGTGCACTGACGCGCTTCTGTTCCCGGAACAATTCCGTCCGACCTTATTAACAAACGCTGCTCAGCTGTTGTGCATGTGCACACACGCAGGCAGGCACGTAAATACACCCGCACACGCGCACACAGACACATAGACACACACAAAGAGACACGCACACAAAGACACAGAGCCACACAGACACACAGACAGAATCACACGCGCACACACACACACACAAACACACACACACACACACACACACACACACACACACACACACACACACACACACACACACACACACACACACACACACACACACACACACACGCACACAGAGACAGAGATGCACACGCTCACACACACACATACATACAAACACACACCGGCACCGACACAGACGCAGACACAGACGCAGACACACGCACACACGAACACATACCCGACAAAGACACACACGCACACGGAGACACAGAGAGACAGAGAGAGAGAGAGAGAGACACACAGAAAGAAAGAGAGGCGCAACGAGAGACACAGAAACAGAGAGGGAGAGAGAGCGACACAGACACAGACAGAGACGAGCCTCAGAATCACAGAGACACAGACAGACACGGACAGACATAGACACACAAACACACACACACACACACACACACTCACTCACTCACTCACTCACACACACAAACACACAAACACAAAGTGCAGCTGGCGTGCCTCCGGGCGCACGCTGAGCACCTGCGCCACCTTCCAGGCAATCCCACCCCTGGGCCTCTTGGCCGTTGGAGCAGAAGCTTCCACATGTTTCGGCACTAACACGCTCTCAGTCTCGCTGGAAGCCCCTTTTGGCGGCCCTCGGCGCGCCTTGACAAACATTCCACGGAGCTCCTGCAAGAGACATCAGTGTGCGTGCGTTGTTTTCGCTTCAGCTTCCAACCGAGAGCGTCTAGAACAAGCAGACGGTCCTTTACCCGACCCAACCCTTCCCCAACCAGAAACTTTCTGCACCCCCCCTCCCTCGCCCTGTCGGACCTCCCCCTGAACATGAAGAAAGGTCCGTCCAAAAAGTACCGCCGTGATAGGCATCGATAGAATTTTATAAAGACCCGCACGCGTTTAGGATCGGCCGTTCACACACATATCCTGACCGGCCATAGGACCCTATTGATAGACCCCATCGTTTTGGATAGACCCTCTTCCATACTGGGATTCCAAACCCCGTAGCCAAATCCCATAGACCCCTATCGAGAGCCTATTCCGAGAGGTCCCCCGAACGGCCCTATTGATAGACCCCTATCCGTTTTGGATAGACCCTATCCATAGACTCTTATGCCAAAAGCCACGGACCCCTGTCGATAGGGTCTATCCGGCCCCTATCCCATTTCAGACAGAGCCTTCTTTGCCCAGAATTAGGGGTCTCTGATAGGCCCCTCTCTAAAAGAAATCGGCCCCTGGTTTAAGGCTTCTTTCGGGTTTAGGGGTTGTTTAGGGTTTTGGGTTTGTTTAGGATTTAGTGCGTGTTTGGGGTTTAGGGTTTGTGGAGGGTTTATGGTTTAGTAATTATTTAGAGGATTTAGCCAGGGTTTTTTTGGGGATATTTAACCCTTGATTGATGTAGGCCTTTCGGGTTTTCGGTTTGGGGTTTAGATGCGAAGGATCGAGGGTTACTCTCTGTGCCTAAACTGTACACCTTCAACGGGGACAAACCTGATAACCGCCAACACAGCCCAACGCCGCCGCTCTCGGTACTCGACAGGACTCTCAAGTACGATCGCCAAGCGTTCTCTCTTCCAGGCGGCAGCAAGGCCTCCGACGCAACGCAGGCCGTACCAGCCGTCCTTTAGATCGACAAAAGGAGCCGGTGGCAGTCCATCTGGCTTCTGATAAACTGCACAATGGCTCTGGCAATCGTGCGATGACCCATGCGCCGGTGCAGATAAGCCTCGAAACCCTGTGCGGTCTCTGGTTCCCTTCCGGGACGTGAGAGCGCGATCATGCTCCTCTGAACTCAAAGCGCCTAGTGCTTCTAATAACCTAATTCTTTCGAAGTATCAGCCCCCCCCCTTACTACAACAACTGCAAGTAAGGGACTCCTAACCCAACTCCCAATTTCGGACCCTTATCAATGCAAACCCTATGCCTATGCACCCTCAGCCCTTAGAATTATGGGGGCGCCTCTTGGCAAAGGAACCCTCAGCCCTCAACTAAACCCTAACCCCTAACCCCTATATAAACCCTAAACCCTAAACCCTAAACCCTAAACCCTGGCTTGAGGGGGCTTGCTTGGGGTTTAGGTTTTGTTTAGAACCCAGGGGTTGCTTGAGATTTAGGGTTTGCTTAGGGTTAGGGCTTGTTCAGGGTTTAAGGTGTCTTCAGGGTTTGGGGTTATTGAGGGCTTCGGTGTGTTTGCTCAGGGTTCAGGGCGTGTTTGGGGTTTGCTTAGGGCTTAAGGTTTCCTTAGGGTATAGGGTTTGCTTAGAGTTTAAGTTTTGCTTTGGGTTTAGGGTTTGTTTGGGGTTTAGGGTTTATTTAAGGTTTAGGGTTTGCTTTGGGTCTGCTTCGGGTTTAGGGTTGGCTTTAGGGTTTAGGGTTTGCTTAGGGTTTGGGGTTTGTTTAAGGTTTAGTGGATGTTTAGGGTTTGGTTTGGGGTTTGGTTGAAGTTTCCGGGTTTCTTTAGGGTTTAGGGTTTCTTCGGGTTTCGGGTTGGTTTAGGGTTTGCGGCTTGTTTAAGAATTGAGGATTTGTTTAGGGCTTATGGTTTGTGCAGGGTTTAAGGTGTCTTGTTAGGGTTTGAATTTGTTCAAGGTTTTGGGTTTGTTTAAGGTTTTCTTAGGGCTTAGGGTTCGCTAACAGTGTTAGGGCTTGTTTAGGGTTTAGGGTTTGTTTATGGCTTAAGGGGTGTCGGGGATAGGCACCTATCCGAGAAACATGGGGGTCTATCTCTTCCTGCAGATGGGATGAGCGTGGATAGGGCCCTGTCCCCGAGCCATAGGTCCCTATTATCGGTTTATCGGATTGGGATTGGGGTCTATGGATAGGGGTATGGGGTTCCATGGATAGGGGTCTATCCGATCGGGATGGGCCATGAAGAGAGGTCTTTGCCTTTTCGGCTGGACCCATCCGATGGGGGCCTCTCCTTGGAACCCGCTGGGGCCCTTTCTGAAAACCTGTCTTGAGACCCGCGTCTTGGACCCTTCCTAGGACCGTTGCGCATGCTACAATCCGACTCGCAAAGGCCAAGGAGTGCTACGAGGGCCTAGGGTTATGGTTTGCCGCTTCGGGCTTCGAGTTCGAGGCGAACTTGTAAGATTGGAACATGCATTGGAGTTCTGACTGTGGGCATTTGACAGCGGCGAGGCAGCTCGGCCGGGCCGGCCAAGGTTTGAGGAGCTGTTGCTGGCGCTAGGTTGACAGAAAGCAGACTGGTACTCCACGGATACTCTGTACATGCAAATCAAGAATTTCTGCAGTCCTCCACGACTTCACGAGCTCTTGAGGCATAAAGCCGGTGGAGGCGGTTGTAGCGCGCTTCGCGGTCTGAGTCATCAAGAGCACGCCAGCGTTCCAGAAAGTAGTGCGCCACCTTGACCAAGGGTCAAGGGGCAAACGCAAACCCGTGCAGTCCTGCGCTATCATGTGTTATCCCATCTCGCTTGTAGACTTTGAGGTCTCGACGATGGGGCCGGTCATTTGCCAGAAGCGGACCGAACGTTGAAAGCTTGAGTCCGTGTGGTAAAGCACAGCACCTCGACATTGGCTCGAGGTGAAAACCAAATTCAGGATTCCGAAGGGCATGTATGGGCATGCATCATCAACTGCGCGGCAGGATTTCTATGAGCACAGCAAGACAGCAATTGCCCAGCGTCCAGTCAAGTTGCATGCTGCCGCTGCACCGCAACAGCCCACTCCAGCGCCATTACCTGATCGAACTGAACCCGAGCCATCACTGCATGGGCATCGTCCCTTCCTATTGAAAAATGTGGTGTCCTGAGCTTCGGTATTGAAACACACCTCCCCTCCCCCACCACCTACGACAGCGCGGCCGTGATCTCCAGGATTGGCTGCGAGTGACCCTCTACAAAACCTGCTGGATAATCCCTGAATCTGGGATGATGTGACCCCCAGGACGCAAACGCTCTGTCCTGCACCCTGTCTTGGGCTCGTCCGGGTCTGGGGTGTGGGTCGGCAGTGGTACGGCACAGATCCCCTAACTTGAACTGTATTCAGAACCAACTGCCGGGAGGTTTTTTAATTAATATCAAAGGCCAGCGACTACGAAAAGTTGACTTTTTGTAGATAACATGCACAACAAGTGCTTGCATGAAATTGGCAGCATTGCGAGCTGTGCAAACTTCAGGTCACGCCTTTATTGCAGCAAGGTTGCGAAGCGCTCGTAAAGTCGGAGATGGAAGGCGGTACAGCATTCGGCGAGATCGGCGCAGGGTGAGTGGGTGAGTGGAAACGGGTACGGGCTGGCTCTGTAGACCAAGGTTCAGGCACATTGCGAGTCAACAGTGCTCACGTCGCCCTTCGCTTTGTGCAACATGATCTTGGCTAAGCATCCCCGTCGATTAGCTTGAAGCTACTAGACATCAGTTGCTCGTGGAACTTGAGCTCATGCAGCAAAGCGTGGCTCGAATCTCCTCATGACCTGAGTGTTCAAAAGCATCCACAGCGGAGAGCGGGTTGATGTACCCGCCGTGCTTCGTCAGCCATCAACACGTAAAAGTCCTGGAAGAATAAGCGCAGTCCAATTTTGGCAGCATAGTGGCACTGAAACTGACAATCGTGAAATATTGCGTGTGCTCTCCGCCACGGGCTCCTCTGCGGTCACAAATCCTTTGCCGTCACGGTCCGCATGTTCAATCATGACCTCGATCTCCTGCGCAAAGGCTTTCTTGCCGTAGGCAAGGATAAGCATTCACCATGCACGGCATCCGGTAATTACGGGAACGCGCTGTATTGCCCCCCCCATCCCCCAAACCCGCAAGATCCTGCTCATAACACGCCTGCTCAACTTTCCGACACAGGGTCTTCTACCGTGCCAAATGTCAAGCTCCTGCGATTCAGGAGTTTCAATCAGACGAGCTCCTGCAACCAACGCAGAAAATCAGGAGAGCCTGACCCTCTCCTGCTCTCACTCTCACGCCTTTAAACAGTTTGGCCAAAGTTCAAGCGCTAATAAGGCTAAGGGCTAATACACGTGAGTTGGATGCAGAAGCACGCTTCCTTTGTACAGGGTTGGCATCCGTCCGACGTTTGTCACAGGAGGTTACGTACTCTCAGACAGGCATGCTTGACGGTGACTGGCCCTGGCATGTGGAAAGACATTGAATCATTGAACGAACAGATACGAACAGATATGCTTCATGCACATCAAGACACAAATTACGAAACAACTCGCCAGACACACGCAGGGGGTCACCGGCCTCAGTGCACAAATCTCTTTCCGGCATAGAAGTACGCGGAACGGCAAACATAAGGATCATAAGGAATTGGGAAGCGAGCTCGCCGGGGCTAGCAGTCGGCGTTGCCTGGCAGGACTGTTGACGTTTGTAGCGAGAAATTCCGAGAACAGTCTAAACACCGCGGCAAAACAAGCGAAGTGACGGTCTGCTGGTTGGCTTCCTTGGGGGGCTCCAAGCCAGCACCAGTTGCCTGAGCGGGAATTACGTTGGCCAGGCCGTTTGCGACTTCGCCCGGAGTATAGGATGTCGGTGGGTTTAGATGGTTCTGGCTTTTTGCAGTTTGAGTTTTGCGAGCGCCCGTCAAGGCTTTTATCTTTCATGCAAGATGTGTGTCGCTGTTGGATGTTGAACTTTGGGGAGCTCAATGGAGCTTAGGAGTGCTCGCATGCGCTCGCAATGGCCGCAAGGAACATGGATTTGGTAGGGTCCTTCACATTTTGGGTTTGACCCGGGGTTTGAAAGCCCGATGCTGGTCCCACCTGTTGCTTATCTGGTTGCTCTACGAACCTGGTTATCAAAAATCAGGATAGCCAACTACTTTTATATACCATTAATCCTACTGGAATCTGGACGAACAATGTTTACCCGCCGGAGGTACCTGCAACGCTGGCGAAGGCAAGCCGTATGCAGCAGTTGGCCTCGATGAGGGGTGGAGACTGGGGGTCGAGTGTCCAGTATGGCCCGTTGTTAGCGGTATCAACTGTAATAAAGCCCCCTACGCGGGGCACAAAATTGAAGATCCTGTACACGGCCCATGATGCAGATGAAACCCCAATGTGGAAAGCTTTTCCGTAGATGGGGGAGTCTTCCGAGCATTTGGCAGGCCAAACGAGTTGTAGCCACCTGTGGGGCTCCTTGGCCGTCCATGCGAGTCGACTTGGATGCGATGCCGGGAATTGCTTTGATTTGATCAAGACTTAACGCTGGAAGCGATCGAATCATGCCGAGCTCTTCACATTACGCTTGTGCCAACCTCATGGCAGGGGTCACCACGGATGACATTGGCGCATACTTCGAATGGCACATTGTTGGCGAGGCCTCAGCACCAGCCGTCCACAACCTTGTTGCATTCCGGTGGAACAGACAAAGCAGGAACACCCGGCTTGCATCGTGTGACTAGCCAGGGCCTGAGGGATTAGCGCCACGACAAAGATTCGGCTGCTCTTGTCCTCAGACGCGGAAGCCACAACGAGCTGTGGCTTTCCATTCACCTGGCTTGGAATCGACGCAAGGCCACTTCGACTGCTTCGAAGTGGAATGCACCTCGCCCACGGACAAGTCGAAACCCAAGATGGTCTCAGAATGACCCTGGCTTTTGCAATGGCATGCAAGAATTGCGAGCAAACATGGGCAGTGGCATAACTTTTGACATGTGGGCTCATGGCATAATGAGAACCATTTCATTGCAGTCTTAGAGTTTACTCACTCCGAGGGGGGCCTGTAGGGTCCGGAGACACTCGCCAGACAAGCCGTTGAACCTCGGTAGCAAACACATTTCCGCCAAGTGAGAGACTGTGAATGAATGACCGAGATGGTGGCAGTCTCAATGTCTTGTCCGTGGAGCACGTGCAGAACCTCTGCACGAAAGAACCAGGAGGCATTGGGAAGCATGGAAGGTCTGAAATAGCTAGACATGCAGGCGAGGGCTTGAGATGGCTTGAGGTGTGAGGAACTACACCTGTCCCGTCTCTTTTTCGTTGGCTGGAAACCTTGCTGGAACCTCCTGGCACTCCAGGAAGCAGGTGGAAGCAAAGTCCCTCTCCATGTCCCCGTCTTTGCGCCGGTGGGCAAAGAATGGGAGAGCGAGCAGCGCAGAGCGCTCGCGCCTGCTCGGAAATGGCCAACTTTGGGCCTGCATTGTTTTTCGCTCCCAAGGCTGCAAGGCACCCAGAAGCACAGCTCTTGGTCAAATGAAGGTTACGACAGCTCACGGGCTTCGGTGACCCCAAAGCTCCAAACTGATGCTGCTTGGCGAGAGCTCAGCTCCCGAAAAGGTGCGCTCAAGACTCTGGATTCTAAGGGGCAGGGATTGACGGTCTCAGACGACCTCCATCTGCGGGGGGCCTCTGACATCAACTCCGATGATTTCAGACAGCACAAAATTCACTCCGCCTTTTGGGCAATCGTCCGGCACGTTGTAGCCAGGCATCATGAAGCCCATGCACTGTTTCGATGCCTGCTTTGCGAAGGGGCGAATCAAAGTAAAGCCACAGCAAGGTGAACTTTGCCTCTCAACAAGTCTTAAAAGCAGAGTCGTCAAGCCCACCTCCGCATTGCCCTGCATACATTTGTCGCAGCTTGGCCCGCGCGATCGGCATGGCAACTGGCAAGGTTATTACTCTAAGGAGACCGCGCCGTTAGGCACGGGGTGGGGGGGTTAGTCTCCCATGGAGGATAAGACGGGGGGGGGGCTTCAGTTCTCCGGGATTATTAAGGGGGGGGGGGGGGACGGGCGTGGGTGGGGGGGGGGGGGGGGGGAATTACAAACCTCCCTGGAGGACTAACCCCCCCCCCCCCTCCCTGAAGGACTGACCCCCCCCCCAATTCTCCCGAAAGACAAACCCCCCCTCATAACCCCCCGCTCTTTGACTACGTCAGAAAGGATTTTGTTCTCATTTGGATTGTACTCTAATTCTCTATCAAATCTCTACTTCTCTAATTTTCGAGGAATGAATACAAGAAATAGAAACAAGAAACGGGGGGGTGGAATTGAGACGAATTCTCTACTTCTCTACTCATTCTATTTCAGCAAACCGACAGTGTAGGACTATAGGGCAATCTGAGCAAATAGGGGGGGGGGGGGTTGACACGTCCGAAAGACTTTGTTGTCATCTGGATTGTACTCTAATTCTCTATCAATTCTCTACTTCTCTAATGTTCGAAGAATGAATACAAGAAACAAAAACAAGAAACGAGGGGGGTGGAATTTAGACAAATTCTCTACTTCTCTACTCATTCTATCCCAGCAGACCGACAGTGTAGGACCAGCTCAAATGGGGGGGGCCGCGCCCCCCCCAACCCCGCTTTTTGATTACGTCAGAAAGGACTTTGTTGTCATTTGGATTATACTCGAATTCTCTATGAATTCTCCGCTTCTCTAATTTTCGAGGAGTGAAGACAAGAAAAAAAGAACCGGGGGGGTGGAATTTACACTAATGCTCAGTTCTCTACTCAGTCTATGTCAGCAGACCGACAGTGTGTGACTATAGGGCAATCTGAGCAAATGGGGGGGGCTGCCCCCCCCCCCAACCCCCCCGCTTTTTGATCGACTACTACTATTCATTCATTCCAATCGCAGCCGGTCTCTCAGCTTAGCGTCAGGTACGTGGCAGCGCATTGCACCGGTGCTTCAAGAGCACTAGAACCACATGGGCAAGTTCCGCTACGAATAGCTGCAAACTTGCGGCCTACTCAACTTGTCAAGAGAATGGTGCACCAGTGCACTCTTCACTCGATCAAAAGAGTGCAAAATCAGATAAGTAGAAAGCGAAAACGTAAAACATGAAAACAGGTCGTAGAGCTATCGACATCGCTACAGCCATCTGTTATGGCATCTTGCATTCATCATGGTGATTCTCTGTACAAAGTGCAGTCCTGAGAACTGCAGTGGCCCCAGGAGGGCACACTGAGGACCACGCACAGCACCCAGTAGTCCTATGAAACTGCAAGTGAGCCGTGTTTTTTTCTCTAGCATGAATCGATAGACATTATAACCCTTCCGCGGACCCTTCCGCGGCCTTCCGCGGCGTGTTCCGCGGATTCCGCGTTCCTTCCGCGAGCCTTCCGCGAGCCTTCCGCGGAAAAACGCGATTCCACCTTCGCACCCGGCCCGAAACAGAAATGAGTGTATAATGTGTATATGAGGATGAGGCATGGACTCTAGGCCTCCAAAACGACCCGTCGCCTTCCGCGGAGCTTCCGCAACCCTTCCGCGGGCCTTCCGCGCAGATCCGCTCTCCGAAACGGTTGCCGGGCATGTTGGGCATCCACTATATCTAAGTTTCAAGCACGCCGCACTTTCCGCGAGCCTTCCGCGGACACCACGCCTTCCGCGGACCCTTCCGCGACCTTCCGCGGAATCTTGTTCACCTCTTCACCCCTTCCGCGGACAATAATAATGTCCGCTGCAAAGTACCTATGCTCGAGCGCCTAAAGAAAACGCAGCTCAAGTGGCCCCAAGAGGGCGCACTGAGGACCACGTTCAGCGCCCTGTAGTCCTGTGAACTGCAAGTGGCCCTTGGAGGGCACACTGGGGACCGTGTAGTTCAGTACCCAAGAAAGGTCTGGCCGCAGAGCATCGCCAGAACACAGCTTTCTCGCACTTACTAACTGTGACCCGGAAGGACGTAACGTCAAAACCCAGACCACATCTCGAAGCATACGTGGGGCCGGGGCCCAGTGCGGGCCATCCCATCCGAGGATAGGGTAGGTTGCCGCCGCCGGCAGTCGTTCAGCATTCGGGACAAGGCAGCGATGATCTGCAGCTACACACTCCTCGGGTATCTGAACTGGAGGTACACAGGCACAAGGGCTGCGCTTGGCAATGTCGAGTAGCTCTATTGCAAGCTGGCATAAAGGATCTCTTGACACATCGGTTCCACTTGCGGGTAGGTCCCTGCTTCCCATCTGTGACCTGAACTCCGTTTAGCTTCGGCACCTGAAGTCGTCGCTGATAGGCAAGGGAGTTGCCTTCCCCAGCTCCAACGGAAAGAGCTGGAACCCTCACACTGTGGGACACCTGACAATGTAGCAATATAAGTAGAGTCGTCAGTCGGCATCCCACCCCGGACTTGGGACCGGGCCGGCTATCTATAAGGAGGTGTGGCACTACGCGCTCAATGGGGCGGCCTGACGGCGCGCGCCCAGGAGGAATGCGGGTGGCAGCCACGTCATGCTTGCGTTAGCTGCAGGAAAACTTGCGCCAACTCCTGATCGCTGGTAGCCACGCACTTGCAATGGTGCCAGACTGCCGCGTTGGCAGGCCAGGGCCAAAGGCACACAGCGCCCTTTGTTGGGGCCAAGAGGCACCCAGCTGACGAGCGTGCTCTCAATAGGGCGGCCTGACGGCGCGCACCCAGGAGGGATGCAGGCGGCATCGACCTCTTGCTTGCACCAACTGCAGGAAAAGTTGCGCCAACTCCTAGCTGCTGGTAAACACGCACTTGCAACGGGGCTAGCTTCAGACTGACGCGTTGGCAAGCCAGGGGCAAAGGCTTTCAGTCGACCCATGCGCCCTTTGTTGGGGCCAAAAGGCACCCAGCTGGCGAGCGTCAACAGTAGCGCTAGTGCGGCTCGCTGCACTATAGGACTGTGATCGTCACGTTTCGGAGCCGGACTCCACCGCAAGGTTCGCTCCATGGCATAGATGCTACATCTCCACAACTATAAGTCCCGCTGCTGGGACACAGCTGAGCCGGAGTGCTTCGACTACTACTACTACTACTACTACTACTACTACTACTACTACTACTACTACTACTACTACTACTACTACTACTACTACTACTACTACTACTACTATACTACTACTACTACTACTACTACTACTACTACTACTACTACTACTACTACTACTACTACTACTACTACTACTACTACTACTACTACTACTACTACTACTACTACTCTACTACTACTACTACTACTACTACTACTACTACTACTACTACTACTACACTACTACTACTACTACTACTACTACTACTACTACTACTACTACTACTACTACTACTACTACTACTACTACTACTACTACTACTACTACTACTACTACTACTACTGCTACTGCTACTGCTACTGCTACTGCTACTGCTACTGCTACTGCTACGACGACTCCTACTCCTACTCCTGCTACTGCTACTGCTACTGCTACTGCTACTGCTACTGCTACTGCTACTGCTACTACACCTGGGGGGGGGGGTGGGGGAAGACTGACCCCCCCCCCCGAAGACAAACCCCCCCCCTCGTAACTCCGAAAACACCCCCCCCCCCCCCCCCCCCTTAATACTCCGGGAAGACAAACCCCCCCCCCCCTTATAATCCCGCAAGACAACCCCGCCCCCCCCTCATCCTCCCCCCCCCCCCCCCCCCCTCATACTCCCGGAAGACAAACGCCCCCCCCCCCCGCTAACGGCGCTATCTGCCTAAGGGCATGATCGAAGTAAAGTACTGGGCACAAGAAGAAAGACTCAAGTAGGGAAACCGATAGCAGCTGACTTTGCAGTTCGCGATGCCATACTCTGCAGTGTTTGCATAACCTCAGATTGTCATGGGTCACTGGAGCAAACGCCAACTCATGCAAACGGCATGCGGAGTACGTGCCTTCTTGCTGCAAGCCAGGTGGCACCCGGCACACTTGGTGGACAGGCCAGGTATCGCCTTAGCGCACGACTCTCCTGCGCCTTTCTCCGACTAGAGATCTCCAGCGACACACGAATCCCTGCCTAATCCTGGACTGGCAGAGGTGCGGACCCCCTCCATGCACTTTATGAACTTGTCTCTCTTCAGCGTGATTGAGAACCTGGGTCTGAAGCACGATCAAGGAACCCAGCCCACAGCCGTCGACAATGCTTGCGGCCGCTTGCTGCCAGGCCGCCCAAACGATACCGAATCTGATGCGCAGTCCTTGCTTCGCTTGGCCAGCTCATCTTCAGCCGCCAGCCTGAGACCGGAGTCCACAATGGGGATCAAGAAGCAACCAAAAACACTAGCGAAAACGCCACACAGTGTAGACTTGAACAGGAAGGAGACAAATGCATACAAACCACCGAAAACCTTGCAGGCCTCTCTCGACTACAGTAGTCCGAAATAATTAAGCAGAAGGAATTCAGAACCCTCTCGCCACACACACCCCCCTACCTGCCCCCTGCCACCTACCCCACCCCCCCAACCCACCCCCTCGCTACCCTGACCGTCTTTAGGGAATGTTAAAGAGGCTTCAGCGCCCGCCCCTGCGCCCCCGCCGCTGCCCGAAACGCCCCAAAACTGCCCTACCCCTTAAACTCTGGGAATGTCAAAGAGGAACCCCTCAACCCTGCATGACCCCCACTGGGGAAACCTCTGCAGACACATCAACAACACTGTGGCCTGCAAAGGTTTATGTACTCCTCCCTGCTGCAATTGTTGTAGACCTTGTCTGCGCCAACGCATGCTGTCAAGATGTCCACGGAATGGCTGAGAGCGCATGTCTGCCTAAGGCCGATGGACCCTGCTGCCTTTCATCGAGAGAACATGCCAAAGACTTCACCAATGAGGCAAGGGCGATTGGATCCTCTGTGGTGGTGGTAGTAGTCGTTGTAGTGGTCGTTTTGCTGCGGGTGGTGTAATCTTTTCCCTGACCAGCATGGAGGACAGTGGCAAACATCACAAGTCACAAGGCACAAGCTCTGCACACAAGGCAGAGGAAACAAAGCGCTGACTCATGCTGCACGAGAGCGAGTGTTGCCACTTGTTCATCCTGAGTCTGGATTTGGCAACTCCCAGGACGCCCCAGGCCTGGAGACTTGCGTAAACCCGGTCCAGCTCCTCCCGCACAGCCTCACGGGCTTCACATGGGCTGCACTCGACCGCTCGATGAATCGCACACAAATCCTGATTCGGAAATGCTCAATTGCTGACTCGGAAACTTGGGTGCTTCAAAAGGTCGATGTGGGTGTGTGAAATTTTAGGTGAGGGGACGCTGGGAAATCTGGATGGGTTCTCCTGGTTCAGGAGCATGATATGGAACTAACTCGAGACTCAAGCTATGAGAGGGTCTGGATCTTGGCAAGGGCGAAGGCAGGCAGACGTGGGGATCAAAGGAGACGATCGCAAGAGACTCTGAAACAGGATGGTTTCTGAAAACGCGAATTGACAGATTCTGATCTGGGAATATCGGCTTCAGAACTTGCCATTGCTCTCAAAATTCCTTGTGTCCAAGTGTGCCCGTTGGCTGGCTTTGTAGCAGGGGCTCCGACGTGCGTTGGACATAAACCTAGTTCTTGACCAATAGGCCCTCGTTGAGGAACATGTCCCCGTCTTGACTTCCCCTCTTCGGGAATCGACTCCTTGCTGCGGCCCTTGCCCGCTCAATCCACACAGTATCTTTTTGGGCTCTCCGTCCGCCCTGCATGTTGAGCATGTACCTCCAGATGAGGCATATGTAATCGTATGTATGTATATGCAGATTCAGGTATACATATATATATATATGTATATAAAAAGATATACACAGACGCCTAAACATGCTGAAAACATAAGTAAGGTATAAGTGCGATCAAGGTGATGACCTTAGGGCCCAGCATCAAGGCGGCTCTCTGCTTGCACAGCACGCGAGAGAAGCTGCCTGCTGTCCTGTCAGGTTCTGCATCGCTCCTTCAGCAATGGAACCTGCGAGCCTCGGGCCTCAGCGAAGCAGCGAAGCGATGCGGCGTCCAATTGCGCCCCTCCCTTACGTTGAGTGCTCAGAAGTCCTCCAGATCGGTGATCTTGCTTTCAGCACTCTTCTGCTGGGCTTCCATAGCCCGGAGGCGAGAAGAAAGCTTCGCCTTCGAACAGGAAGAACGATTCCGATCCTCAAAACCCATGCTTGCTGCTTGCTCTGCATCATGGGCCTCCAGTGATTCCACTGAGTCCAAACTGGTCTCTGCTCGCCACACGGCCAGCACACTCCTCTGGAGCTATGCATCGACATACCCTCAGGAACGAACTCCCAAGAGAAACTCCGAGAGGCAGGCATCGTTCCAAGAATGGCAAATGGCAGGATTGCTTTCACCCCCATGCCCTGCCGGGCTCGAATGAAGGTCTATACTAGCTTGCATCTGGATTCCAATACGTGCTCCCCAGTGAAAGAGGGTTTCATAGAGGCACCTGTGAAGGTGGAGGCCCGGCAGGCTCCGGTGGCTCCATCTCGAAGTTCATACGGGCCATCACCAGAGTTGACTTGAACCCACTGACACTTGGAAAGTGTGCAACTTTGAGATGTGTCTTGCGATGTTGAATGCTCTTGCTGGGATGTGTACTGTGAATGCTTGCCGGCCAAATGCGAGCGCAGAGGAACCATACCATGGGAAGCCCAGAACAAGCAGCCGAATGGAATTAGGATGCCACCAATTGCCAAACGACGACCCAGGCAGCCACTTGAGCTTGACCTGGGCAGTGGACTGGAGCTATGTGCATGTTGACTGGAGTACTGACCTGTCCACTTCCAAGGTCAGGACAACGCCACCCTTCTCGAAGTGATCCTGCCACGTCTCTCACAGCCACCAGCCAAAACGTGGCCATGCTCGAAGAACGAGTCAAACTTCACCCTGCGCAAACACAACGCCTGCAACACCTGCTGGGAATCGTTCTACGTTTTTCCGTGCTTGTAACACACAGGCTGACACCCGACTTCAACGCACAAAGAAAAACTTATTCGCAACATGTTATGGGCAAGTCCCGTCACCGGCCAATCCAAAAATCTTTGATTTCAGTATAATTTACCCGGGACAGTGGTACTGCATGAATGTGGCGCGGTCTTGTCAGGCAGCAGGCCTGACCAACTCCAAAACGACAGCTACGTGCATTCCATGTTGCTCCGACACTGCACTTCCACACTCTGAACATCTCTCCACATGGATGTTCGTAATGATTGACGACTTGATGGCACCAGCATGTCGTGGATGGCGTGAGTGATACAGCTGATTTATTGTTCCCGCGGGCGATATCACTTGGAACTGATGTTGAATATGGAGAATGACTCAGTAGGACCAGATGATCATGTCGTTCACTGAAGCTGGCCAAGGCAAGCGGTACTTTTCGACGACTACTCAGGTTACTCACCAGCTCCGGCAAAGAAGGCGATCTGCTATGCAATAGACGCCACAATGGTCAAAGCTCGACTCTGAACAGAGGTCCACTCTGAGCAGCACTCAGCGACCCACAGGACAAGCGAGTTGATGTGAAACAAACAGGCAGTGGCAGAATGCTTTCTTTGTACTAAACTGGCATGGCCCGCGTTTAACTTGAGTCGGTCGGGATGCAAACTGAAAGAAAAAGGATCAGCAAGCAGCGAATGTCGTGGTTGCACCTTGATGGTGCAGCGGAGGTCCATGGACTTGGCATCCCAAACCTGCACCTGGCACGATGCAAAAATGAAGGCAACAACCCAGCACGAGACAGCACTGCACGTCAAGGCCCGGGCAGTGCCATCCATGCTTCCAGTAGCCAGCAAGAGAGTGCTTTTCGGGGGCGCATTGCTGAACCTGACTCTCACGACTCTCACGCTTCGTCAGTGCACTCCGCCAACGCACCCTTGAAAGGGCGCAGCGCAACAGCTTCCACGGAATCGATGTGGCCAGGCAAGGGCTCAAGCACCTGCCACATGGTCACAAGCAGCTTCAGAGAATCAACCAAACATGCGACCTCATTGCAACAAAACAACAATCACACGGATTGTTTTGGCGCCCGTGGGTCTATCGGAAGGTACAAGTTGAGGGGTGAATGGGGCTGTTGTGTGAAAGCACGTGCGCATGCTGCATGTGATGATCTCGTATACCTGCAAGTGTGCCGAGGTGGGGTGGGGGGGGTGGGGTGAGGTTGGGTGGGGGCATCTCTTTTGTCCTTCATCTCCTCCCGAAATCCTGGTGCCTCACCTGTGTTCGGGCCTGCGCAATTCCCTTGTTTTCATCGCACCTTGTGTAAAATCCCTTAACCCGAAACCCTAAACCGCCTGGTTCCTAAGCTGGGGTCGGCAGTTCAGGGTTCTTGGTTCAGGGCGGCGGGTTTGGGGTTTGGTCCCTCAACTTGAAGGGCAAGGGCCCTCCCCAGACCCCCATCCCCAATCCCTGGAATCTTTCTCTGCAACCCTAAATCGGTTTTATCCTAAATTGGTGAGGGTCTGGGGCTTAGCTTAGGGCTTTGGGATTAACACGTAATCTGACAATTTTCAGGTAGTCATTCATGGTGTTCGAAGAAATGGGGTCCTCTCTACAAGCACGACAGAAGCCTTGAACAAAAGAATTGCTGCAATGCTTTCCCAAAAGAAAACCTGCACAAACTATCATGTTAGCGAAAACCCCAAGAAAAGGCCCATGACAAATGCTAAAATCATCACAACAAGCGATAAATCAGGTCATGGATGTTGACCAAACCGCGGTGTCAAATAGTACTACGAATCCCCGAAAATCAAAAACCCCGCTTCTATGTTTTGGGGAAACGCACACCTAAGTACAACCCTGGGACACCGTGGCTTGGAAAAGCCGTCCCGGTTAGAGGCCTTTGGCTTGAGAATTTTAGGCCAGCCCCCCTTCAGGACAACCGGCATCACCAGACCAACGTCATGTGCCACATTTACAGCGTGTCTTTTGCTCCAGGGTGCTTTGGACTTAGCTATGCAGGCTTGTTGTTGGTTGTGAGCTTTTTGCAGCAAGTGCGTTGCGGCGCACATTTCTTGTGGGGCGCCACGGCCTGCTCATAGCAGCGGGGCCGGTTCTGCGCGCAATGCAAAGCCACTTGCAACATTCGACTTCTACTGTGAAGCTCAAGCCCTTGCTGTCAAGCGGCCGCAATCCTCAAGATGAATGAAGTACAACAAAGCTTGAGCAAGATTGGGGTTTTGGGCTTGAGGACAGAATGCGAATGAGCGAAGTGGGGACTGCTGGTCTGGTTCTGTTGAGTGAACAACTGATGCGATTTCTGCTCCTCCTGCTGCTGCTGCTGTTGTTACTGGTCGAGGTGGTGGCGGTGGCTGCGAGTTGTTGGTATTGATGGTGTTGTTGGTGTTGTCGTTCTCGCTGTCATCGTTGATAATGGGAGCCTAGTCTAGTTGGCCTAGTTCACAATAGTTCACAATAACCAGATCAAATTCGTCTGGTCACCTTGCCGGTCTCGATCTGCAGAACTTTGGCCGTTGCATCCTCGGCGCCCGTCACGACCTGAGTCTTCAACAAGGCTGACAGAACCATGGGGACCCACACCTGAAAGGGCTCCCGGCGATTGGCGACTCGGGATGTGAGCAAATAGAGATGATCGGGCTTTCATGAACCTACCCGGAATGCAGCCCAAGCATCCCATGACGGCTGCGCCTTGCTCCCAAAAGCTTCCGAAGATGCGCGAGCCTCTCTGATGTGGTGCTGTGGAGTTCCCGCACGAGGATTCCACCTGCGATGGCACACCCACTCAGTGACACACCATGCAGTGTCGTGCAAGGCGCTGGCACGATGACACCATGATCTTCAGAACCAGTGACGACAACCTGCAGGGTTTTCGCTCTGACACGAGTTCATGTTTGGCATGGAGGCAGCCGGCCTTGCCGCCTAGGCCCCAGCATCCGCAAGTCACACCTGATGTGTCGACGTGTGCCGAGTTCAGAGTTCAGATGACTGTGTGTTGCCCTTGGCTCGAGAGCGCAGAGCAGACTCGACATCCATGCCGCTCCGAGCAATTGCAGGGCCGACCAGCCTGCGGCATGGCCTGCAAAAATCTGCATGACCTTGCCACTGGGGGCCTCGTCAAGAACAGACTCAGAGATCTCCAGCGCTATGGACTGAACTTCGCAACTTGGTGTCCCACCCACCACATCCACGCCATCGTGTCGTTGGATCCAGCGAGGATGGCATGGCCTTCGATTCTCTGCTAGCTGATAGCGGAATAATACGAGTAGCATCTCTCGAATCACTCGAGCTACTCCCGCTCCACGATTCCACGACTCACGGGCATCTCTGTCGAGGCGGTTCTTTGAAGCTCCAAGTTCAGCTCCCTTCGGATGCCACAGGATCCACTCGATCTCCTCTGGGTCCAGGTAAGACAATCTAAGACATCAGCGCAGCTGTGCAGCTACACCGATTAAGAAGTAAAAAACAGCCGTGCAGCAACATGTTTTTGGTGTCCTTGGAGGGCCCTTCCAGGTGCTGCACCAAAGAACCGTCGGCAGAGTTCCAGATCCTGAAGGCAGCGATCAGCATGCGACGCCGCACGCAGCGAAATGTCTTCAAAGAAGTTCTAAAGCAGTCCTCACGGTGCCATCGTAGGACCCGGTGGCTGCATATGCCCCATCCGTACTGAAGGCCACCTGCCAGTTTCGGCTCGGCAAGGCACATCACTGCATTGCACGCAGCCTGATGCAAACCCTCCTGTACGCAATTGAACTTAAGCCTTAAGCTCGCCGAGCCTCCACGACTGAGTCGGTGTGTCCCTGCCTTGGGAAGTAACACGCCATGACCCCCAAAGAGTCTGGAGGAACAGAACGGATATGAACAGTTGAGACAATGGCAGGCGACACCTTTGGTTGCACTTGAGGGCACCATCCTATAACACCCCACGACGGGAACATACTGCAAAACTGCAGCACACCGTGCCGGCGAGTTGAGTACGGCGAGTGCGATCTGGGTCCTTCTCTTCTATCGACCAGAGTACAGCGACATCATCCTTCGGCAGGGACAGGCCGACGGCACGAAAACAACATGAAAGAAAAGAAGGCCCCCCCCCCCCCCCCCGCCCCCCGAAGAAATCCGGTGCGTCAGACCGTCCTGTCCACCGGTCAACACCATGCTCCTACAAGCTTCGTCGTGTCACTGTGCTGTGGCTTCGGTTGTCTCACGTGAGGGTGCCTGTCGGTAGGGCAAATGGCCACCGACAACACGCTCTCCTCATGAACCTCGAGCGACTCGAACGCTTGCACCAGCAAAGTGAGAGAGAGCCATCTTATCAATCTTCTATATTTGCTCGCCAAGGTCACGGCGACTTTCGCCTTAGTGAGATTTGTGGTTCAAGGAAAGAATAGCGGCGCATTGTAGGGATCGCATTTCAGCCACCGACCAAAGCGTCATCGGCTGATGGGCCAGCCTCCTTGTACGGGCGCAAAATTGTTCAAGTCAGAGGTAGTCAGACACTCCACGACGCATCCGCCAGAAGCCTCATCAGAGTAGATCTCGTTCTCTGGGATGACGCCAACCTCGGATGACAGCGTTGCAAAGCATGCCGCCATGGAGCATATGACTCGCATGATCGCCTCCTCGTCTCCCATATCATCGCCTGGTCCGACGAAAAAGCAAGGGCCACGAATGCTCAGAAGAGCGCACATTGATTTTTCAATGGAAAATAGCACACCTCCGTCATCATCTGGGGCTTCATCATCCTGCGGGCCGAGGGCTACATGGCTACACCTGCCGTGATGCATGAAGTCCCGAAAAGGTCTGTCCCTCACAAGTCCTCGAACTCCACTTCCAGGCAATCCCCGGTCTGGAAATCTGTGTCCAGCTCCTTCCAAACATGTCAAGTCAAGCACAGACCTGTGGATGCTTGCACGATGTTCATGTTCGTCAATGTTCGTGCCACCTGCCCTTCGGCACCACCATCCCATCCAACAACTTCCATGTCCTCTGTGGACAGTTCACCAGACATCTTTGTTGGCGAATATGGCGAACGGAATCGAGCGGGCCAGAGTCCTCATCCCCCTGTCCCAGCTCACGGGCCATGGCCTCAGAGACCAGCTGAAGTTCCAAAAAAGAAAGAGAAGAAGAAGAAGAAGAAGCTCCACCCCTCCAAAGATGGCTAAGTCCGAGACCTCTGAGTCTTATTAGGATCCAGGGTGGCAGGCTTATGGAAGTTTCCGATGCCCGGCCGGCTTGTTTTGCATACTCTTCGTTTGTGTTACTGCCGGCCAAATACAAGCTTGCCGTCATTCTCGTCTTCATTTGCAGTGAAACGGATTAGAGCTATCTAAGTCTATCCACAGGATGTAGCACAGTGTAGCTCTGCTAGATGAACCTGCCAAAGGTATATGGTGTATGGAAATTAATCCGCGCTGTGGGCCGAAGGACTGGTCAAGGTGGTCCGAGTGCTGAGTGCTGAAATAACATCGAAAACAACCAAGGGAATAGTCAGCAGAGGACAAACGGACAAACAGGGGAGGCGCCGCATCAGAAATGTTGTCTCCCAGGACCTGCGCCTCGGGGATCTCTGGAGATCTCTACGTTCCTTGAAAGACCACACTGAGAGTGGGACGATGCGCTGCAAATTTGTCACATCTATCTTCTTGTCCCTGCATCAACAGATTCCAGGGTGTCAGCCGGCTTCATGTCGCGGTGGGGCTACGAGTCTGAACTGCCTCTGCTGCTCCTCTAGGTCATCCAGGTAGTCGAAAACCTCCTGCATGTTGTCCCTGCCAGCGAAATAACCGAATTCCACCTTCAACTTTCTCGTGGGACTGGAAATGCTGCGATTGTGGGGCACACTCTCGACTGCATTTTGCGGCATTGGCTGCGCAAGCCAAGGCTGCTAATCCCGCGACCACCGGGTTCTGTCAAGGTGTCCCTTGGAGACACCTTCGCTACTGCAAGTTCACTTTGTGAATCTTGCATTGCTTCTACAACCGCAGCATGGGCGATTCTCCGTCGAGCGCACAGCACCATTACCACGTGCCTTAACTTCCACTGACTTCCTCATGCGGACCTATCTGTGCTGCGGAGAAACGAACCCCAAGAAGCAGCCACGGACATCTGCATTAACAACTAGAAACCACCAACTCTTCGACGTGATGGCTTGATGCAGCGGGCCATGACTTTCTCAAGCATGCTTCCCGCAGCAGCTGCCAAAACAGCCTCTCCTGGCAACACGCGGACGACTTGAGAGGCCGCCCCCGGCCGAAAGAGAGGTACACGGTAAGGGAGCATATTTGAAACCCAAGGCAAGCCACCTCCTAGTGAAGGGTCCAAATTTCAGGGAATCGCAACAGCAAGCTCTCGCCACAATGCTTCAAATCAATAGCACGTCATGATATCTGATAATTTCGCAGCAGGTGCTAAAGCATGTGAACCCCTGTGGATGCAGTCCTGATGTATCGCTTTCGCTTTGGAAGTGCTTTAGAGCGTTTGAGAAGGCAGAGGATGGGCACGTTATACAATTATCACACGCATGGGAGCCACATGTCCTTCAAAGCGAAGCGCTTGCTGAGTTCTCTCAGACCGACTCAGACCCCAGAAAGGAAGTTGTCTAACGTGTCAATTCTCCTCAGATGTGCAACTCTGCGTGACTGGACACTTGGGACTCGGGCGCCATGACGAGTGCCACTCTTGACCAGGAAGCGTCGTGCACGCGTTCTAAAAGCATTCTTCTGCAAAAAATGCAGCAGTTCGACAGCCAGGGCAGCCGAGGCACGACCTTGCCCCAGGAACCTGAGACATCTCTTGACATGGCCTACCCCTTCACTTCGCTCTGACGAATCTTCCGATTGCAGGTCTCGGGAGCTGACAGGAAGGTCTTGGTGACTATGCACATCCGGCAAATCGAGAAAGACCTGTCCAACTTCCTATCGAGCCTAGCGGAGACGCAATTGTCGAACGGATATCTGGCTGAGGTGCGGACGTGCAGCAAGGTTACACCAGTCTCTCCTGCAGCTTCAGAAGCCTCAGTAGAGCTCGTTGAAGGCGACTCCTGCCGAGTGGTTCAAGCCATACTTGCGCGTCAGAATTCCCTCCCTAAAGACAATCGTCGTCGAAATGCCGTAGATCCCCCAACGACCCAGACTGTGAACTCCCAGAACGGCTCAGCACCGCAAGATATCGTCAGTCTAGTCATGTCTAGTCCATCCTGTAGGCTGGTTGCGACGTATTGCGACGTCCTCGCAGAATCCGCCGCAGGACTTCTCGTCTTTTCGAGGCGTATGAGCCAGGCTCTGCTTGCAGTGGCCATGGCCAGAATCCTGGCATTCGAGGAGTTCGAATTCGACAGCAATCGGATTCTATGCCAACGTCGATTTCCGCTGCCTCGCAGGTCTCTGGCTCGCAGCTTCCGCTGCCTGATGCCTGAGCTCCGCAGTGACATGTGTTGGCTCTAACCAGATGACCGTCGGACGCACAGTCAGTCCAGTCTTCTCGTCAGGTTGCGGCGACTGTGTCTGAGTGCAGCTCGCTTCCTGGCTCCCCACCCGAAACCAAAACTTCTGATGTCTAGGCAGACGAAAAAAGTTTAAGAGGCCCTCTTGCCAGGCCTGAGGGCATCCGGTGTCGAGAGCAGCACAACACCTACCGCGCATCTTTTGAGCTTTGCCACACTCACCCATCACTGAAGCTGTGCACATCTACCATGCACAGACTGCACTGCCGCGCGCTGCAAGCACGCCAGTCTGAGCTGAGATCTCCCGAGAGCTTCTGCAGGAAGCCCTGCTCAAAGACCTCGCATGTTCACTCCTGTTCAACCTCCATTCACTCAACTTACCATGTGATGCTGGTGCCACTCAAACCTTCGCCTTTGCACAAGGACAAACAGTAGCCACATCGAGTCTCATCGAGTGTCTGGCCATTTCACATGGTCTCGGCCAGTCGGGGCCTCGCCTGCGACAAGCCACACGCAGCTATGTCGGCATGATCTTCGATCTTCCAACCTGCAGCAGGTCAAGCTGCTGCAAGGCTACACTTGGCTTCCTGATTTGAGACCAGTGGCAGCGGCATGTCCAACAGCGCTACCCTTGAACAATGTGCAAAGGGCGGGCAGGCGCCCGTTGTGCAGATGACAGCAGTGCACAAAGTCTCCCTTTTAAAATTTTAGGCGACGCGGGTTCCAGCCGGCAGTCCTTGAGGCCTCAGCGCATCCCGACACTGACCAGCGCTTCACCGGTGCCTATGTACTACAACAATGACAGTTATAAGTTATGAGAGCGCGCGCATGGTTGAACCAGGACTGAGCCTGCCACCCGCTGCCAAGGCCTCAAAACAGTATGCAAGGCCTGTTTTTACACGAGCCTCTACAACAGCGCAGCTGCTACAACCAAGTGTCGGCTGGTGCAAGAGGTTGGTGGATGTATACAGGCTGTGGTCACCAAGGTTTCGCTAGGCTTAGTGCAACGCTGATTCGGCTGTGTTGTTTGCAGGGGTGCGTGTCATCTGAGTGGTTGCAAGGTGGCTGCAAGGGAGTTTCTGCGCTTGAACAGCTTGCATGCATCGATGTCATGATGTTCAAGATGCTCTGCAACATCATTGGTAGTATGACTCCTAGCCCCAAAGACCATCACGAAACTGGTTGCATGTCGGCCTGTTACTTCAAGGTTTGACTTCAAGCAGACCTCTGATAGTCAAACAAAAAAGAGAACAAAGGGAGGATTCTATGAATGTGTTTCTGCTGTGCCCCCGGCATCGCGCTTCAAGCCGCGCCCAATGAAGAGGAGCTTGCTCTTTTGTGAAGACACGCTGGGGGCCTTTACAGCTCCCAAGTGCCAGCCGAGAGCACCAGTCGAGAGCGTGAGCAATGCCTCCTCTATCTCGAAAAGCTTGCCGACACCTTGTAGAGCCTTGGGTAACGGTAGCTTGATGTGCTTGAGTCAAATTGCGAGCTGTCAAATGCAAAAGCTGTCCGAAGGAAGAGACCTAACCAAGTGGCCAAAGTGACTACTATGACTAAGTCCCATGTTGTGCTGGGGATAGGGCATGGGCCACCGGCACTTTCGGCAGGGTCTCCTGCGGGAGTGGTGTACCGGCTAGGCAACGTCGCAGAATGTGTGTGTTGTATACTGTGTTCTGATACGTCAGGATACGGGATGCTCGTGTGTGAAAGCACAAGTTCTCACGGCTCTGCAATCTTGTCACAACATGTGTCACAACTCTTTCTCAACTTTCTCAGGTCTGCATAACCGCCGGCACTCAGTAAACTCAGAGGAAGCTCATAACTAGTATTGAGAGCAGGCGAGTGCAGCAGTAGGTCCGGCTCCTGGGTATCCTCCTCCGAGGGTCCCCTGGCAGTTTAAGAACTGCAACTTGGGCCAACAAGAGGACTGGTATCCGCTGCGCGCCTGAAGAGGCCTTTGCAGCGGTACACGAAGCCCGCAGAGCCCTCAAAGTTCAAAGGACAGCGACAGCAACTGTTCCCACAGGTTCCCACAAGCCACTCCCGCTAGCCTCCCACAAAACGTCGGCAAGCCATGACCGGACCTGGCAGCAGTGCAATCAGGACTCCAGAAGCACCGCAAGTGCAAACACACGTAACTTTTTCAAGATGTTCACCAACCCCAAAGCTCATTGCAATGGCACAGCCTTGTCAGGATCGTACAACGTGTCTGCCTGGAGTGAAGCATGCTGAAATTACGATCATGTTCGCAAAAACCCCTGCCTCTCCATGAAGGAGAACACTTTCGATGCCATGTCCACCATACAGCTTTCCAGCCTCCAGCTTGACAATTGACACTGTGCGCAGCGTGCAGCATACAGCAGGCATGCATCAGGCATGCAGCAGGCATCAAGAAGCCCACCTCACAGTCGGGGCAGTCATCAGAGCCTTCCAAAGCACGAGAGACCACTGGGGACCGAACATGATTACTCCAAATTCTTTAGTAATCACGTGCCAGCAGCCTTGCGAGTGGCTGTGCGCGTGGCTGTGGCTGTGGCCGTGGCCGTGCCCATGGTCAGGCTCACTTTCCTCCATCAGATTCAGAGATGGGCATCTCTACTTAACTATATTTCTGCATCGAAGGCGTGGGGCAAGGCCCTAGCCTCATTCGAGTTGGAAGACACAGCATGGAGAGAGGCTTCCAGACCTGCAAGTTTGAGCAACTGAGTAAGTGAGTTGGAAAGCTTGAAAACCCCACATAAAGCTACTGGTATTGCATAGCGCGCCGCTTGCTGTCGAAACTCTGCCGCTAAGAGGCGCAGGGAACGCAGACATCGAGAGCAATTCACATTGCAAGCAACGGGGAGGGGACAGAGGGGAGGGAGAAGGGTTCGGGCTGCCCAGCTCGTACCCTTCAGAGCTGACGCTTTCAGCCTTTGTGACTAAATCGTGAAGGCATTCTGGGTGTCCCCACCAGAGTTGAGTTTCATGACATTTATAGATAAGTATAGCCCACGGCTGTGCGCCGCATCTTTTTCAGGGGCTTGGACGGTAGCAAACTGTCAGCTCGGCCTCCAAGCAATGAACCACGTCGAGTATGGTACGGATAACAGCGAATAAAGGAACCCACTCGTTGCGCCTGGGGGCCTTTGCTCTGACCCTGATTGGCTTTGACTCCAACCCTCTTTCGGTGCTTTAGGCCTTGAGGTTTGGAACTGAAGCACTATGCTGCCACCTTCAGGTCGTCAAACAGAAACGAGCAAGAGAGCCAAGGCTCGTGCGGTCCCTGCTAAACGCCCGAAGGCCCAAGATGTCAGCAAGAGGCCTTTGTACTCAGGGCTCTCTCTGCCGTTCTCTCCAGGCACCACTCACCAAAGCCATCCACTACAGCAGAAGCCCCGGATTCTATCTGTCAGTCGTGAAACCGAACAAAGCAGGCAGGATGACTTCTGGTGCCCGACAGCACGGTATAGAATGGTCTACCTGGTATAGGGTGTAGAAAGAAGTGGACGGGTTCGGCAACCTGTCGGTGCTTGTTGCTGCACTCATTCGAGCCGCTGGGCTCGCCTACTCACAACAAAGGGAACACGGACTGCTGCTTGCGGGGGAAAGAGAGCTCAACCTCGCAGCATATCTAAAACCACGGGGTGCAACTTCTTCACCTTTGGACAAACTCCTCGATTCCCCGGAGCAATGGCATCCGGCTACCAAACCGCAGATTTTCTGTGCCTCCATCCTGGTGACACATACTTGGTATTTGTTCCTAGCATGTCCGAACCGTACCTACACCGTACTGACAAGCAAAGCCATAGTCCGCGGCACGGCTGCAAAGCTGCTTTCCAGGATCCTCCGCATCTTCAGATCGCAAAAACCGCTGAGACATCTCTGGCAGGGCAAGGCGGGCAAGTCGGTCAAGGCGGGCCTTGCAGCTGGATTGATGTCTCGCAGAGTAGCAGCGGAGCGCTCGCGCTGCTTCTGGCAATTGCAAGGGGTGCAAGAGCGCCGCAAGAAGCCAAGAAGCTGACCACCCCAACAGCATAGAACAGAACAGTGCGGTCGAAAACTGCCCAGCGAAGTTCCTGCACCACCAGGTCAATCTTGTTGAGGATGAGCACGTCGGCACAGGCAACCTGTGAAGGCGTAACTGTGCCACTGTCACTGCACTATTTTTGCACCTAACTGCAGCAAATTGCGCGCCTGTTTCAGGGACTCCTTCTCCAAGCCAAGACCCTCACCATCCTGACCATCCTCCGGAGCCTCCAAAAAAAGAACGAAGTGGGCAGCTCTCGGAAGGCTCTCCGCCTTTGCTCTTCAGTTTGCTTGTCCATCCTTGCCAAGGCAGGACAGGACGTTCTTCGCGTCCACGAGAGTGACAACTCCATCAAGGTACACACGACCTGGGGCACATCTCAGCACATCTCAGCACTCAGGGGGGGCGGTGGACGAGTCTCTCAAATTGCTTGGCTCGGGGCTCCCAAGACCTTCATCCACCCAAAACACCTTGCCAAGTTCGGAAGGTTTTGTGGCCTTCTGTCTTGAGAAGCACAATGATGTATAATTCTGTATCAAGTTGTAGAGGACATCAAAGGAGCAGTGTTGAAACTGTAAATGCGACGATGCTGTCAGACATTTGAGGACCTTGATCGACAGAGGTGGCCTCACAGATGGACTCTGGGTCTGCAACTCCAGTCGCCTCCGACAAGGCAGGCCCAGGCACAGAACTTCCAAGGGCATCCCGAGGCTTATGGTGTTGCAGTGATTGCGATACTGTACTGCCATTCATGTCACAAATACACTCCTCATCTTCGAGTCTGCACCTCCACCAGGATGTAGTCGAAGCTGTTTTTCTGCTCCAGCAACACGTCAAGCGTGCCGATCAAGCCGTCCTACAGTTCCTACAGCAGGTCCTCATGGCGACAAAACCTTTAACTTCCTCCCAAGCTCTGCCTTCGCTGAGCAACAAAGGCATCCATTTGGGAGCTCGTAGACATCCTCCGCAAAAAGCAAGCTTCTCGACAATTATCTCACGGCAATAAAGTTCCGGTCTGCCTTAATGGTGTTCCCCTGGGAATCTGTGAAGAGAGGCGCCTGTCAGCAGAGCTTTTGACAAGCTCTTGATATTGAGGTTTACGTCTCAAGCGCGTCCAGCCAGGCACCTCCATTCCCATCTCCTCAGAAAACCTCACACCACGGAGGTCTGCAAGGGTTTCCCACACGGTTTCCCAAGAGGTTCCGAGGGCTTTCCCAAGTCCCAAAAGTTTCTATGTGTTTCCCAGGTCTTACAAGGACCGGAGGTTGTGTTTCTGGGTGTTGGTGAAGGAGTTTCTTCCGAAGCTTCGTCGGATGGTTCCAGACGCTGCGAAGAGTTTCTAATTTCTGAAGAAGTTCGAGACTCCTGCCCATCCTGAGGGGCATACCGCCATGGGGGGCATAAGCAAACAACACTTTGAGTGCAGCGCTCATTCTGGATGACTGCGATCCGGTATCCGTGATCCTTCTCCAGGATAAACCTGCGAGTGCTGCAGCATCAACCAGCTATAAGGCTGCTTCACGGTCTGGCCTCAGCAAGGTTGTCTTTCCAGCACCTAAGGCACCGCTGAGAACGGTGACGGGCGTGCGAACCTGACGAGACAGTGGCAGAGAATTTTGCCGCTTGTAGGCACTCACATGAAATAGATAGCTGGCCTCATCTTCACCTAGAGCTAGGGTAAACCCAAGAGCGACATCACGTAATGTCACATAGAGTCACACTCAACTCCCGACAGGAAAGCTCCGGCTTGGGCTTTGGCCGTCTGCAGCATCCATTCTACAAGCTCATAGGGTCACACGGACATCTACAGCTCATGATGTCAGAAAGTTACTGGGTGTACACTATATGCTACTGCAAGTCGGGCGGAACCTGTGCCAATTCTGAACCTAATGCTATCGTTCAAGCATGTCGTCTTGCTGAGTCAAAGCTTGAAGCATGGAAACACGAAATCAGAGTACGCTCACACACTGCACGCTGAGCACCAGCCTAGTTGCATAGCCAACCGCGTGGACTTGCATGTCCTTGCAATTAATTGCATCATTGTAACCTTTAGGGCAAGCAACTGCAAACTCAAGACGATGGCTGTTGCACAGTTCCAAGATGTGATTCACGAATGGCGCAAGCTAAAGAGAACCACCAGGCCGTCCTTCAATATCTTGAGGAACTCCTGCATCTATGTGCACAGCTGGGATCTGCATGCCACGACATTTCATTTTCCACATTTGACCTAAGAGTGAAACCAAGCATGGGGCAGAGACATCAATTTTTGTGGACATCGAACAATCGTAGAGGCATGGCTGGCTGGACGGTTGTTTGGCTGTAGGGTCGTGGAGCTGCCGGCTTCAGGACATGTTGGTAGTTGTTTTCATCGAAGTGCTGCAACAATGCCTACTCGTGTGTTCGGGTGGAGGTGGATGGAGTACGTCGCAACAACTGGCTGCTTGGGCGCGTTTGCGGACATTCGTTCTAACATTTCTCTGGATGCAGTGACCGACCTGACCTTCAGCAAGATTTAGCAGCCGACACGGACGCTACCTACGGCAGCTCTCAAGTACTTGGACAGGTAATGTGGAACTACACGCACATTCGAAATTCTACTCATGTGAAGGCCGAATATCGTCGACCGTCCGAAGAATTGAATAGCATTCAGATTCAGAGTCCTCTCAAGTGGCTTATGTTGTTTGCTTAACATTCCTTAAACTATTTAGATTGGGACCGGCCCGGCCATACTAACAGTCACCACCAGCAGACCCACAGCATATAGCACCCGGTAAATGCCAAAAATGGTGCTTTTCCTGGTGCTATTTCTGGTGATACTTCTGGTGATATGCCTGGTGCTATGTGACTAACAGTCACCATCAGCAGACCCACAAAAAACAGCACCCGGTAAATGCTAAAATTGACTGGGATTCCTGGTGCTATTTAATGGCCTGTGTGTCATAAGGCCACGGCGTTATTTAAATGTTGGTGTGGATAGGCCGAACCCAATATTTAGACAAACAAGAACCATGCCGAAGCTGGTCTGTGTTTTAAACTAAAACAAGTCTAGAGCAACCAGCTTCTGTACGAGACCTGTCTTTTATCTCACTACATTCATAGACCAGCTTCCACATTGGTGCATTTCCTTGTTTTTTGAGGAATGAAACGAATAGACCAGAAGATTTCTTTGACATAGACCAGCTTCCGTATGTTTCCACTGATGTCTAAACGCATCGACAAGCTTCCCCACGGCGTTTAGTAAACAAACGATGACCTGTTCGCGCTTGCGCCAGTCGAGCCTCAAACTCCAGGTTCTGCGAGCCATCCCCATCCTGCGCTTGAGCAATCTTGCACAACTGCGACCGGCATCTAGTGGCACGAAGAAATTGCCGCACCAGATCGCTGATGAGCTGGTAGATCGTGGTGTTGTCCGCCTCAGGGTGTTTGCAGGAAACAGGGCCTGACTCCCCAGAAGCCTCTCCCATCAGGCGCAAGCCTCAAAACCCAGAGCTTGCATTTGCATGCGGATCTCCTGACAGCCAGATGTCATAGGTGCGTGCTTGAATGATGCCGATGCATGTTGCCTTGTTGCCAAGTAAGAGTGCCTTTAAAAAGCTTCATTGGCCCGAAACGATTGCGAGGCGCCCGTTTTTTTCTACACAGGCGACTTAAGCAGCTTGGGCTGGCTCCAAGATCCCAAGGCACTTTGTCCCCACCATGCTGTCGTGCTGTCTCGGCTGCACCACATAAAAGCGCCTCTGCTTGGAAACGTTCTGAAACGTGGCAATACATTGCACCTCTGTCACCTCTGTCTTTGTTCTGACATGAAAGGTCACGGTCACGACTGAGTCGAACTGCACCAGCGGCATGGCGCAGCAAGGAATAGATGCAAAAGTTGCCGACTCAAGTGTTCGCCGCCAGACTGCAGGCATCTGGAGGCGTTCGCTACGTTTGTCAACTGCTGCGCAAGCAATGCCTCATGATCGGCCAGTGCATTCAGGGCATCCAGGGCAAAAGGCGCAGCGCGACCACTGGAAATCGAACGATGTCGAACATGTCAACGGCCGTGTCGTTAGTTTGGAGCTGCTCGGTGGCGTCGCTGGCTTTAGCGCCTCGTCAGATGCATTTGGACACTTGTTTGCGGCTGGACCCCCAATCAGGCAGATGATAGGAACATATTTTGAGGTCTCCTCGCGCAGTGGCGCAGCGCGGCGTAGAAGTCTTCAAGCCTTCATGGAAAAGACCCCGCAAACACCCGCTGCAAGCGAGAATCTGGCATGCTTGAACGACTAGCCACCGCCTCTTCCGCATCCGGCTCAAGAAATGGTGGCCTCCACCACCGTAGTGGCGGCTGTGAGCCTTATCTTCTCAAGCTTGTGCAGGTGCATGCAGAAGAACGAAGAAGAGGAACACGAAGAGGAACACAAACCAGGGCAAGCGCATCTTCCGCCTGACGCAAAGCCTCAGGTGCACTCGAAACCTTGAGCGTACCCAGGAGTTGGCGAGCCGTTGAAAGCCCAAAACCCCCCCCCCCCCCAACTTCCCAGGAGAGCGACCTCTTTCAGCAAAACCACGGTGTCTTTGGGAAGGGCCTGCGGAGGTGTGGAGAGCGCCTGCCTCGAGAAGGCGGAAATGTGAGGAACGGACCTATCCCTTATTATCCGATAATCCGCTGCTCACGGCCTGGCCATGCACTGAGTGAGCATCAAGTGGTACTTCAGCTCGTACCTTGCGGGTACCCCCTCCTCCCAACTTCAGCACATGTCATGGCGTCGCTGTTACTTCTTTCCCTTGGCCCGATGCTCAGAGCTTGGTGCGATGAGCGCAGCGAGCTCTGCACAAGTCTGGAAGGCCTCGACCTCACTGACAACTGGGGCTGTCAGCGCGGTTGGACTGGGCGGAATACAACCGTATACAACCGGAATTCCAAAGACTCTGCCGCGGGCTGCTTCTTTGAACAAGCTTGCGTCCTGTGCTGCCTCAGCTTTGGTTCAAGGACACGGCCCACGGCTTGTAAAGTTATAAAGATGTGTAAGCCAATGAAAGATGTCTTCAACAACGTGAAATTTAAGTCAAGTACTCGGCCACACCGTGTTTCAAAGGCATTCGGCATAATGCACAAAGTGGTGCTCTGGGGTCTCGGCCATGGCCAGACCATGAAACCCCCAAACGAATTGCGCCCTGTTGTGATGAACACCGGAGCAGATCCAATTCAGATCAATTTAGCACTATGACGGGAATAACATTGAGTAGCAACCTTATCAATTCCGCACTGTGCAAGGCAGAACCTCCAAAGCGGCTGCACACTTGGCGATAGCTGCCGCGCAGCAGTGCATACACTGTCTATGACCTTGAGCCGGCACAGGTGGCAAACTCCCTCCCATACCCCACAGCCCCCCAAGATAGTCAGGGATGCTCTCTCAGTGACCATCTCGGGTTCACGCTTTCCTGATCTTCTTGACAACATCCGCCATGTCGCTAGCTTTTCCTCCACGTCCTCAGAAGCGGCAAAGGCATAGGCGACTTCGAGGCCACAACCAGGCCACCAATCGCGAGATCATTCCATACCAGATCATGCCAGAGACTTGGGAGCAAGACTAGGAAGTTAGGAAATACTGAGAGGTACTTCATGTTCGGGGCAGGTCATCTTCAATACTGGTACACTGCTGTCCTCTCAGCGCCGAGAAGGTGCCGAGCTCGGCCCTGTGCAGCATTGCAATACTCAAGAAAATCCGAGAAAAATGGATGATAATGGATGTGAAGCATGTTCTGAGGATGGATTTCTAAGGCCGTGGCTCGAGCAAGTCGGCAAGCCTGCCTGCTTCTGCAGCCAGCGGAGCCTCTCTCACCGGCGGAGTGCCGGATAAGATCTGATAGTCAGTGCAAAATAGTCCGAGTGCACCCACAACTGGCACCAGTCTGCCTCGATGGAGCACCTCTTGCACCCGCAGCAGAAGCCGTAAGCCTGCTGCAACCTGACCAAGAAACCGGCGCAACGACGCTGCCGCTGCCACGAATTTGTCAAGTTGTCTGTCCTACTTCTCCTCTCGACGACCGTCTCGAATGGATAGACCTGCTCTACAGATGTGGACATGACATGGCAAAATGCTAACAGCGCACAACTGAGGGTCAGGCATAGGTGTCAACCAGCTCCTACCATACCGGAGCGATTGTGCTACAAGGGCCTCCCTCCTGCCACTTCAACTGCATACACGATTGCCTCGTTCGGTGCCAGGTCGACGGCAGCACGAGCTACCAAGATGATGCGTCTGTCCTGTCAAAAGCCGGCAACCCGTTCGCAATTCTGGAACATGCCTTCACCATGGCATATTGCATGTGCGACGTCCATCAGAATGGCTCCTTTGAGAAGCCGTAGCTCAGCGTGACGTTTGCACAGCAAGAATGATTGAACAGAGATGCTCCGAACCATAGGCCACCCAGCGCTTGCGTTTCATCCAGAAGCAGAGTCAGGCTATTCCAGGTTTCGGATCTTCGACTGTTCGAGGCCACTCTTGATGAAACTGCGCTCTGCAGATTCTGGCTTGGCCATGCGGGCAGCGGTGAACTCAGTGGACCGGATCCTTTGGCCGAGCGGTTCAGTCTTTGCAAGTACTGCTCAAACACCGCCAGCCGGAGATTCGGACTTTGCCAGCCATCGCCCCCGCTCTGCTGTGCCCCATGGAGGCACCAGAAGAGAGCCCGCTCATCCTCCTCGGCTCTTGCGAGCTTCCGCAAGCAGGCGTCCGTCAGCTCAGCGATGGCCACACTAGATGCAGCCCCTTTTGTGGAAGAGGTGGTCCAGGCTGCCTCTAGCAGCAACAGTTCACCTGCTCGGACATTGCGGGTTGTGACCAGCCCAATGCCCCGGCCAGGAAGCTGCCTCGCCGCGATGGGGCCAAGGAATGAAGATAAGCCGCTGGCACCGCCGGCACCATGAGACTCTGCTCCGTAAAAGCTGGTCCAGTCAATATCAGGTTCTCGTGGCTCTGGCAGCTCCAGCTTTTCGGGTGCAGATGCGATCGCTGTGAGCAGGGCAGCCACGCGGTCATCATGCAACGCACTCCGCGCCCGAGTCTGCATCGAAGCTTCTTGACAAGCTCATGCGGAGCCAAGGCAGCCGAGGCTGTGCATCAGTCCCAGCAACGGAACAGCATGCCCATGCTTGAGCAAAGATTGTTAGAAAGCCTGCCTGAACCATAATGTTGCACCTGTTTTTGTGTTTCCCCCCCCCCCCCCAGAACAGTCAAGGCTGGTTCCCGTTCTGTTTACACGGTCCACGGGATTTATATGCATTTAGTAGGGAGGAGCTTACACAAGCTTAAAAGGGGACGCGATGCCCGGCAATTAATTTTAAAGGTGCGCCGGGTGGAATTTTCTTACGGCACCCGGACGGTTTGACCTAAAGCGGGACCCGGTCTGCACCCCTAAACAGTCGGTGTGTCCTGAATAGCCCAGCCAATGTGACTTTTTGGAGGGAGCCCCACTAAACCAGGTCCAACATTAGCCTGCACCATCAAGAAGCTACAGAATGACGGTCCGGACCCGTGGGCGCCTTAGGATCAATGCTCCCACTGCCATCGGCATCAAGGAGGTCGAATATCTCCTTCATCTCCTGAGACTTGTTCATCTGACACACGCCATACGACATGCCCTTCCTGTGCACGGAAGTCCTCTCTGTGAGAGGAGAGCAATTCCTCTCTCCCCAAGCTGGTGGTGGACCTCGGGGTCATCGCGCCCTTTTTGGCAGCGGTCAGCGAGATTCTCGTCTGAAACTGTGTCGAGGCTGGCGCATCACGCCCCAGCCGAAAGCCGAAGAGCTTTCTCAAACAGATTCGTCCATTGCGGCAGGGTTACGACATCAGCGTAGGTAAATCTAAATGCTCACCAGTCAGACGGGACTGGCCGCCGACTTTGGTGCTGGTGCCGGGTACACAGCTGTACTATCCTAGGTGAGTTCTCGTGATTTGTGGGATTGCCAGCGGTCAAGTTCAACAGCTCGTTGTCAGCATCAGAGCCAGACAGATGCAAGGGCGCAACTAACGTCCGGCTGTCCGTAGCCTGTTCAACGGTTTCTCAGCACTTTTGCTCCGCTTTCGTCTGTCTCGTCTGTCATGCCGGCGCTGAAGAATGCATGGCCCACTGCTGGATAGTGCCTGAAGTGCGAGACAGAAGTGCAATGAGATTTCGGAGGTTTCAGCCACGTGGATCACCGTGGATCTTGAAGCCTGAAAAGCCTTTGCCACTGCGCATCTCGAGCACTCGCTTCTTGCTTCAAGCGGAATGTCTCCTGGCACGCATCAAGAGAATGTACTTGGGTGGAGGCCTGTGCAACAAAGCATCTGACGCAACACCTAGAAAGAGTCGGCACTTCATTAATAGATTGAGTAGACTTAGTAGACGCAGCACCGGCTTGCCATTCGAGGTCCTGCTCGAAGAAGTCAGTACGCTCTTGGCCTCAAAAAACAAGGAGCCTCATCGGCCGCTGTGATTCAATCAGCAACGCTGCGCCTTGACTCAGCTCTTGTTCCAGATGCCTCTGGCAAGCTAACATGAAGAACTAGGGCTGGGGATGGCTCGCGAGCCTTTGTGCATGCTGGCTTTCTCGCACAGACTCCAGCTCATGTCGGCACAGCGAAGCTTCGGCCTTCAAGGGAAAAACGTCTGCAAGTCTGCAAAGGGGCACCGAATTGTCAGTAACATGTCTCAGAGGTGATATGCAGACGTTGCCACCCATGACCAGGAAAAGGCTGCCTCCAAATCTCGTTTTGCCTCGGCCCGCACCTTTGCATGGTGAAGCAGCTCAACCGGTGGTCCCTCAGCCACTTAGGCCCGCTTTACAGACTCTGGTAAGTGCGAGTCTCATGCAACAAGTTGTGCCCAACAGTTCGATCTGACATATGCGGATGGCACGCTTTCACTTCAGCAACTGTGCTTCAGCAGAGCCTTAGGGTACAACCAGGGTACAACACAAGCCTTCCACAATCTTCAAAAACCCCTCCCAACAAGTCGAGTCCTTGAGATTGCGGATGTTCAACATTGACTTGATTAGTCTTTCAATCGCTGCTTCATGCTGGAACGGCAGCCGGAATGGACAGAGCGGAATCGGGAGGCTGTGCAGAGTTTTCCAGGCTTGAAGAATCATCATAGGACATTCATCAGATCAAATGACAAAAGCGAAGCCATCCCACTTACTGCGCTGGTGCTGGCTCAACAGCACTAGAACAAACGCCAGACAAGTACCAGATCAGGACGGTGAATGCAAAATGTGCGTAATCGTAAGGAATTATTGAGACAGAACACATTAGAGACGCAACGCCTACACAACTCGACTTCACCTTATCTTCTTCCTAAGTTCTGTCACTTTTGAACATTTTTCTTCCGGAGGCAAGTCTGAGGCCGAAGCAGCTTCCAAGGAGTTGCTCGATGTCACCACCTCTCCGTTATGTGGCACAAGACGAATTGGAACTTGCGGACTTTCTGCGACTTGCTCGTGTACGAGCGGGTGGTGGTCCGGCCTCCGCCTTCGCAGCTTGGAGCTCTTGCTGCAGCTGATCCATCTCAGCCTGTCCATATCTGAAAGCTGTCCACACCGCAACAGCTGCTGCAGACAACAGACATGTCCAGACATTCATGAAGCCATCCCACATCCGGAGCCACTCTGGAGCCTGTGCTTCGTGAACTTGTTGGCTCTCTAGCTTTGAGAGAGCCTCGCCCTCACCTTGGCTTAGAAAGGCACAGCCTGGGCCCGAGCCCCCCCCCCCCACCCACCCGACTCCCCCACTTGAGTGGCGGGCGTCGTCGCGCGTTCGAGGCCGATGCCTCCGCCTTCTTTCAATCGGCACACAAGTCGCAGAATGTTGCAGAACAAGAGCGGCTAACAAGTGACCGGGAGCAGCGTTCGGGATTGCCAAGTACTTTTTCGTACCAAGCTCCAGAAGCCCTCATTCAACGTACCTTTTTTAGACAGGCTCGAATGGGCCGCGATGTGTATGTGTGTGTGTGCATGTGTTCAGCTTTTTCGGCTATGTGGAGACTCTCGCTGAATCGATCATCGTGAAGGTAAAGCCATGCTTCCTGACTCCTGACTTTTGATGCCATGTTTCTTGACATGTCTCCTTCGCTTTCGTGTCCCCAACGTGTACATTCCCTGCAGGCGCCCTCAAGCGCCTCCTCTAGGCGTCGCTCAAGCCTTCGGCGAGTTCGAAAAGACCACAAAAGTGTCATTGGCTCTCGAAGCAACTCTAAGCATCCAGGAGCGCTGCATGTCCCGCACCACCGCAGCGCTGCGGCGGTCCTGAGCTGTCTTCGTATAAGTTCCCGTTCATCTTGAACATCCAGAAGCCCTGCCTCCTCAGCGAGAAACTTCCAGGACTCTGCTTCTCCACGATCTTGGAAGCTCCACGGAGCATGGCCGAAAGGTATGAAATGTAAAGGAGCAGAGAAGCACCGCATGATTCTAACAAAGAAGTGGCGAAGTATGCATAGCATGCCGTGCGAGATGCTGTGGCTGGCACGTTGCAACTCCCTGTCCAGCTTTCGGTGCAGCTCAAGCTGCTCCTCCTGAGATTCTGACGCGCTGGACTGCGAAGCGGCGAAGCATGTGCAGCGAGGTGCGCAGTAAGAATCCCTTGCTTGGCCTGGGCATGCGCAAGCTGGTCTTTGTTGGCCTGCAATGCCCAGAACATCCTGCAATGTCCCATTATGACCCTTTTGTGCAAGGAGATGTGCCTGCAACTCTGCAAGCAACTCCTGATTTTTGCCTGCATTGGGCCAGCGTGTCATGGCGAGAGCAAGCCGAGCTGAGCCGAGCTGTTGAGAATTGAGAATCCCCAAACAATGGCAGGCCCACTGGCAAGACTCCGGGCAGCCGCCTGAAGCAGTTGCGTCTGCACAGAAAAGCCTTTAAAGCTCCGATTCGTGCTCACACATGCATGCGACAGCCATATTATGTTACCGTGTGACCTCGGCAGTCCGGAACTCCTCGGACTTTTGCGCCAGCTGCCTTCCGGCCTATGGCAGTCTTTCCCAGTTACTCCAGTTGAAGCTACCTCCAAAGCTCTCCCAAGCATGAACCTGTCAAGTGTCAAGCTATAATGATACACAAGAATGCCCGAGAGGTGCTGCAGTGCCGCAGTCCGTTAGGGCATGTTCGGGGTGAACCTAGCCCAGGATAGGGGACTTAGGAGCGGCGGATTTACGTGTAAGCAGCTTGTTTGCAGCTTGATGCAGCTCGCAGTCTGGGCAGCGGACGCGCAGCACTCGGTGTCCGAGACTGTTGGGCCATCCTCTGCACATCACGCTGCGTCACTTGTCGACGTAAGCCTCGATGCTAGGCTCGGCCTTCACCGTAGGCTTCCACATCCGCGCCAGCTGTGGCAGCACCCTTCTGCGCTGCCTTGAGACATAATCCAGCTCCATCGGTTTCAAGAAACTTGTTCAAGGGGCATTGACCAGAAACGGCAGCTCACCACATACCATTGTCCAGAGATCAAGCACTGCAGGAGCTGAAATCCGTCATTGGGATTCCCCGAGTCAAGCTGCTTGGAGTTTGGAGGAGCACGTCTCACAAGGAATATCTCGGCCCCGGTGTCAAGTCGGCCAAACCCTTGCGGTCAAGCAACACTTTGCAAACGGTTTTAAATAGACAAGTTTTCAAACAGCCCCCCAAAAAGGGGGGGCGCACACCATTCGGTTTCAGCATTTCACCACCCCCCCCCCACGCAGGGCATCAAGCGCAGCCATCACTTCGAGCCGAGCTCTCGGAGGGAGGGAGAGGGGTTGTTGGGGACTCTCGGACGTTTTTTTGAGCACAGGGGACCTCTGTAAAACCCATCACCAGGGTGAAGCACCCTGAAGCCATGGCAAGTGCTCTGCGATGTGAGTTCAAATCTGTCCGACTGGTGGCCATGATATCATGCCCAGCATGCCGTAATTGGGCATGAGCCTTTCTAGTCAAGTGCCCAATCAAGAAATCCGGGTTAGCCCTCACGAACACTACAACCGCCTCAGGAAAGCATCACGAGCATCTGGATGTCACCAGCTTGCGTGGCCCCGGGTACGGTGACCAGTGCATGTTTTCCCGCATGTCGGTTTAAGGAATGCCAAAGGGCAACCTTACACCTTTGTACTCGTTGCACCAAATTTATCAAAATTTGATGTGGAGAGGCACCATCAATTCTGTCTTCAGCTCCTTCTCTCGAAGCTGCCCCTCCTGGCACGGATCTGTAGATTCAGCTGGCAAGGACTAGGCCAAGGCAGTCTCCAATGCCTTCACTTCGAGCTTTGCGGCTTCAAGGAGCCCACTCTGTTCAGCGAGCCTGTGGCTGCTCAAGCTCTCAAACAAAGGCATCTTGAACTGTCTTTACCGTCCTTACCACCTTTACCCAATTGCCGCCGAAGAGCTCTTCTTGCAGCCGATCTGCAGGAGATGGAGCGTGCTGGCTCAAGAAATCAGGCGCGCCTGCCCAGGGCTTCGCAAAACCCTCCTCCCCCGTGAACCTAGCTCCAATGTTTCAGCCAGAGTTCCGCAAAAATCCAGAGGCCTTCGTCCCGCTGATCCCACAGCATGTCCAAGTAAGGAAACTCCTGGGAGGGTGAGGGAACCTTTTGGACAGCGGCTCTTTTCTGAAATCCTGTCCAATCCGACCTGCATGTGGAAGGGCTGCTGAAGCCTAATCACAACACCCCATCCATCAATCCCTATAACCAATTCGCGCCAGGTCAGTACAGAGCTCTGGGTCCACATGGCAGAATCTGAGGCATGCTCTCATTCTGTGGATTCTGCGGTGCTTGGGGAGATGCCGCTGTCGCCTCTGGCCAGGTGAACAGAGAACGGCGGTCAACATGACAGGCCTCAGTGACCCCTGGCCTGCTTGAGCAAAGCTGCCGCACCTGCGTACAGCTGCTCAGCAGCTGAGAAGCAGCTTCGGATTATTGCTGCTTGAGCTGGGTATTGGCATGCGATGGGATGCGCCAATATGCGCCACTGAGCCATGCGAACTGCTTTGGAAGCTGAGACCAGGGAAGCCCTGGCCTTGTGCTCCGGCCTTCAAAGCGTAGTGTAAGGCGTTCAGGCCTCAGCTTCCGCGAGCCTACAGTCAGTACAGATCGCAGGGCATTGCCTTTGCCAGAGCATTGTCCGGGCATTGCAGGGTTATGGTTATGATTCCCTGATTTCTCCAAAAAATCTGAGAATAAGGCCGAAAACATCCTCAGCATGCGCATCCTCAGCATCTCTCGACAGCTCTGTTTTGCGCTCATCGCTTCTGACAGCCACAACGAAGCTGAGCGCGAGAGCTGCGTGGCCCTCCAGCAGAAGTCGAGTGCAGTGCTCCTGCAAGACATAGTGAGGCCTTGCACGGCCAAACTCCTGGAGCCCATGCTCAGTAGTGAATCGTGGCGCGTGCGGTCCGCGACGGTGTGGGCCGGGTGCAGGACCTGAAAGAAGAGTTCTGCGTCTGCACAGCAGACGGTGCAACTATCTGTGTCATCGTCCACACATCACTCCACATCACAGGATAACACGAGCCACAATCCCAGAAAATCGAAGTTCTCCAAGGGTCTTGCAGCGTACGCCAAGGGGCCTCTGCCTTGTAAGTCCTGCCTTGCAAGGAGACAAGGAGATGCCGTGCAGACTGACACATACTACCACAAGACATCCGCACTCTCAACGGAATCTGAGTCAACCTGAGTCTGCACTGCCAAGTGCTCCAAAGGCCTTGCTGTGAGGTCCGGATGCTTTGCCAAAAGCAGCTTGCAGAGCCGAGGCTCCTCCACTGAACCGCCACAGAGCAGGGTGCGACAGAGAGAAATCAACCCAGGATAGAGTTACAGGCAATGAACTGATAAGGAAGTGGGACAGGGGAGAGAAGGGCACGGAGATGGGGAGAGACGAAGGAAGACGAGGCAGTTCTGTCCCTTGCCTTTCATGGCCTGTGACTGGATGACCTGTGAGACCGTAATCCTATATGGGAGAGTTGATCAACACTCCTGTGACCCGGACAGAAAGCTTCTTCGTGGAATTTTAGCCCGCCCCATGCACCGAAAACCTGGAGTCCTCGAGATCTGTCATGTCTACAGTCTACAGAGTCTACAGACATGAGCGCAGGGTTCAGATTGCCATTGAGTGTTGAGGAGGGGCTGAGGTGTGAGGGTGTGAGGGAGGTCAGCATAGGACTAAGATCAGGATTGAGGAGTCCAGCTTTGGCTCCTGCATATTCGCCGCTACGGCTACGAACGCGCGCACTTCCTGAACGTGTAGCACATGAGCTGAATCCTGGTAGGGATACACCATGATACGCCAAACTTGCGAGGGACCTTCGCGGAGCTCTTGCGAGTCGTCTTTCGCAACACTCTACTTACAGAGACACGGATTGCCGAGCCCGGGCCCAATGTGGCGTGTATTTGCGGGAGGGGCCGAGGGCGGAGTGAGGGTTTAGTGCATCGCTTGAGCGAAAGTGCAGGTGAAGCCAAGCTGGCACGAGGAATTTGGATGAAAGCGGAGGTCTTCCCCTCAGAACTTCAGAAAGGTCCTCACAGCGTTCAACCCCTTATAGAGCGACCACCGCGACGCGGCCCCCGAAAACCCAAAAGCCGAATCTCGCTGAGGCCTTCGACCCGGGGGGGGGTTCGAATTTTGAAGCTTCGTGTAGAGTTGAGGAGTTAAGGGCGCAATCGACTTAAGGCTGCACTGCCGCACTCAAGTCGGATTGGAAGCCTCATGCCGCAGAAGTGTAACAAACTAGCACCTACACGTCACAATTTCGTCAAAGAAACTTTCGCAGACGCTCACATGTCCTACAACATGTAGGTGTATCTTCAAAAGGCTCAACGACTTCTTCCTCAGCATCGTCAATGATGCCGGATCTCTGCCTTATGAAGCCTTTCCCAATTCAGAATTTGCTCAGGGATCCCGCTGTTCGACCGCTCAAACGGTGGCAATGAAAGTAGTTCTTTTCCGTACATGACATATTATCGGCATTGCAGGCTGATGAGAACGTGCTTGACCGAAAGGCGTGGTTTGTTCAGCACTGGTCCCAGGGGGCGGGGACTGCCGTCTTTCGTGTTGTACCAACATCAAAGCATGGGAGCACGAGGCTGGAGGACAAACGAGAGACCAGACAACCAGACACAGACCGACACCCCAACATCCTTGCTGCACACCGCCAAGTGCAAGGCTGTCCGCCCAGCCGCATCCTGAAGCATCACACATCAGACACATCGCGGTCCAGAGCGGTTGCGCCGTGGCATTGCTGCCGTGCCTGCGCATCGGCCATGCACCCACGGTCCAGCAGCACCATGGCCGCCTGAAGAAGAACGACTCAGAAGGACTCCTGCCAGTCATTCTGGCAGCAACAGCAAAGGGCTGTGTGCTCCGGTCTTTGGCCTCGCGGTTATGCAACTCACGTAGCTCCCCTCTATTGCGGAGCACTGAAATGCTCTCCAGTGGCTGCCAGTTGTCCCCACTGGGAGCCACTGCTTGCAATGCGCCTTGAAACCAATTGGCGCAGTATGGTGCAGCGCACACTGTCCACACTGTCACACTGACCGTTACAGCAAAGGGCCTTATGACCGTATATATGTTTTCCTAACCATGTACTCACAGAGCCTCGCTGCTTTACTGTTCCTAGCTCGCGACTTTGTACAAGCTTTGCGAAAGCAGCTGTCAGCGAGCGGCCTCCTATCCGGAGACGTCCACGCTGCAAGCCTAGGTTCAGAAGTGGCAATCTGGCCAGCTTGTGGATCGGCAAGAATGGGCTGAACGCCATGTCGCCGTGCGGGCCAAATTGCAAAACGACTGTCACACAGGAGAAAAGAATTGGATTGCACAAAAATCTGCAGAGCCTGCGCAGAATCTACTCGCGGCAACCAACATTCCGTACTTCGACTTTGAACGACGTGCCCGGCAACCATTGACCCTAACTACCCTCCCACGCAACTGACTCAATGACTTCCAGCGCTTTCACTGGCAAAGCCAGTGCCCTGTATGAACCACTTCCCCATTGCCCATGCAGACCTGTGTACAACTATACGCGGAAGAAAAGCTACGAGAACGTGATGCATACCTATGCGGTCGAAGCAAAACCTCTGCCCACCAAGCCCAACGGTTCTTTAATCAAAGCAAGACGAAGGCGCGATCGAGAATAACTTCGCTCAGACACCTGGGGAGTTCCGGAAGGTTGTAGGTGCTTCATGAGGTTGCTTTGGGCTCTTGGGACTTCTGGGACTTTCAGCTGCTAAAGGCTTGGGATACGGCCGTGGACAGCCACGTGAAGTGCCAAAAACTTGCGTGGTCCTAGGGAGTCCTAGGGGCCCTTGGGGAGCTTCTCTGGTTTTCAGGTGCCCCGGTTTCCTTAGGGAGAACTGTCCATTTGCAGAATGACCTCGCCACCTCTGACGTATCAAGGACCACCTGTTTGTGAGGCTTGGGGGTTAGGATGTGGGGTTGAGTGGCCCTGTGGGACCCCCCCCCAATCCCTTGGAGGAGCTGCAAACTGATGCCGTGGAGGGTCCCGCTTGTCGGTGGCTCCTACAGGGGGAGTGCGTCAAAAACCCCCCGCTCCCACCCCCACCCCCCCCCCACCCCCCCCACCCCCCCGCCCCCACCCCCCCCCCCCCCCCCCCACCCCCCCCCACCCGCTCTGCCCTTCCTCCCTTTTTTGGCGAAACCCTCTTTCCTCCTTTCCTGTCCTGGGGCCGGCCCGGCTGCCGAGGCGGCGCGCGCAAGCGTTTACAAAACCGTGTGAGACCGCCCCGTGACCCTCACAGAGTTAAACTCAGCTTAAAGGTTCGGGGGTTTGGGGTGCAAGGCCTGGTCTAGAAGTCTTGAACCCAGGCGATTCAGGGTTTAGGGTTTTAGTTTGAACTCTGCACCTTGTGCTCTACAGAGTTCACCAACTCCGCAAAATAGCACCGAAACAAATGAGTTTACTGAAAGGCGTCGGGGCCCCAAAACTTTCCAACCGATTTCAAAAACTCTCAAGCCCTGAAGCCCGAACCACCTAGAGTCCCGAAGCCCTGAATCGGAAATCCTCATATGCAACCCCACACACCATAAAACCCTCAAGCTGAGCAAGCTGAATCCTGAAGTCGACACCAAACACAGTGCAAAAAACTGAAGCCCTCAAACCAAAAACAAACGCACTTAGCCGGCTTATTCCTTTCTTCTAAAAGCCGAAACTTGTTTATTGTGATTCGGGCTGCCCTGTTCTCCTGACATGTGGCCCATGTTTTCCTGACTTGTGTCTCATTTCCTCCTGACTTCTAGCCTGATTTTTCTATGACTTATGCCTGAAGTGTTCATGGCTCATCTGAGTATTCAGAAAGTCTTTGTTGTGTGTGTGTGTGGGAAGGAGGCTTTGAAACTATCGGTTTGGGGCCCCAAGACCCCCCGCCCCCATTGAATCAACCGTGAGGAGGCATTACTTTGATCGCTATGGAATTATTTCGGCTTCTTCTCCAAGGGGCCCTTCCGGCGCTTTCGGCCGCCGACGCCCCCAGGAGCCTTCAGCAGGCCAGCAGTCCAGCGCCCAACATCCCCGAAGAGCTGCTCCTTATCTCAAGAGTCCGTAAGAGCATGAGGAGGCGAGGAAGGGGCTGAGGAGTTCTGCCTCCTTTGTGGCTCCTGCTTAATTAGGCTCGTTCGGCCTAGAGGTAAACAAAACCCTACAATAATATGCTGAATGAAAGTTAGTGTGTCGGGAGGTAGCAAATCGTCATGCCCCCTTGCCCCGAAAGACCTGCATTGCCCCACTTGCCCCACGTTCTTCCATCACTGGAGCACATTTAGGATGAAGACAAGTGCAAGCCCCATGCATAACATACATCTCCTACTGCCGATACATGCTGAATGAACATCTGATGCCCTACGTACGCCTCTAAAGGTTTCTGCAAATAACTACCGCTGTGCTCGGCCATAAGATTCTACAACAAAAGAATCAGTACGCACGGTCCGTTGTTCCACCATTGCTGCTCAGGCCAAGGGGCTGTGGCTTCATTGACTGGAGCCTCCTTCGTGGGAGTGCTTGACAGAGGGCTCAGGCAAGGAAACTATGCGGGTACGGTGTTGGTTCAGGGTACTTCGTAGTAGTTCGAAGGTGAGGGCAGCGGATGTGTACGAACCCGGCCTCGGCTTCTTCTTCCTCCTCCTCATCTTCCTCCTGCTCCGGTCCTGCAGGAGAGTGGAGTCCGTTTGCAGTTGCTACTAGTACTCTGCAGAGGAGTCATTGAGCGACGCAATTCCGATTCATCTCCGGTTCTCCTCCTCGGCCGCGTCCTTTGCGACCGCGTCCTCGCCCGCCTCATGGCAAGCAGTAGTAGTTAGCATTAGAGTTAGCAGCATGCCAGCGGAACATTGCCATATTAACAGCAGACTCCGATTCTGCGGTGCTCTGCGGTGCTCTGCGGTGCTCTGTTCAGACGCCTCCACGGCCTCCACGGCCTCCACGGCCCTTGGCACCCTTCCACAGCTTTGTCGAGGCGGAGGGCCGCTTCAGGGAGGCCTGCAAGAGATATGGACAGTGGTGTAAGGAGTAAGCTGATGTGTCAGCTGAGGCTGATTTGTATAAAGGTATGTATTAATATAGAAATGTCGTGTATGCTTTAGGGGCTGGTGGAGGTGGCATGGCGTTGGCGGTGATTTGAAATATGGTGAGCTCAGGCAAATCGTCTGATTCCGTACTACCAGGACAGCTTGCGTTTTGCCAAGCAGTAAGGGGTCTGTTCGATCACTTGATACTGAAAGGATTTCACACACGCGTTGCGGCCGGCAACCAATTCCTTTACTCTGAATGTAAGAACCCCATTGTGCAAGCACTGTTTGGTGAATATATATATATACACACACACATCTCCCATCGATTCCTGTGAGGCCTCGCCATCTCCGGATGACAAGCCAGCTTTCCTTTTCTGCCCAGAACGAGCCGCTCGTTCAGCTTCGTCCTTCTGGTACATCTGTCCTTAGGGGCTGACGGATCCGTCACATACATGTAGCATCTTGCTAGGATATGGCACCAAGCTTCGGATCGCTTCTTCCAGCTTGTCCAAGTCCATGCTCCACATTTGCTGGATCGATGTTTTCGTGGTCAGGGCCTCGCAAGATTGAAAATATGAGCAGATCACAGCCTTCGATCCTGTGAGCAGCTGGGACTCTTGCCAGCTCGTCGCTTTTCCATTTGTGGAGCTTCCTTAACCAGCAGGGAAACCAGCAATTCCATGTCTCACTCGTGGGACATGCGCAGTACTTCCTCGATCAAGACCGACAGTCGAGGCTCTCGAGTTCAAGTTTTCTTTCCAGCGTGAGCGTCAGGATCTGCATGCCTAGAAGGTACCTGAGTCGTACGGTTACAGTAGATTCTTAATGTCGGATGAACTCCCAGTGCTCGCATGCATCTTTGCTTAATTGCTGGCTGGTGGCTCGTAGCCTGTCCTGTGTTTCTGCCCCCACGAAGCAAAACATTACGTCACAGCGACATGCCATGTTTATCACTTGTCCTTGGCGCGGTGGTGTCACCAAATCTTCGGAACTTAAACTTCACAAGGTCTTTGACGACGTCTGCCTGCCCGATTTCACAGCGGAAGCCAGTGCCGCTTTACAAGCCCTGGGCTACATACAGTGGCACGTGACAGCATGCCGAACAACGGAAGTACACGACCTACCGTGTATGTCTTGCACGGCGGCGGTAGCGGCGGCCGCGGCGGCAGCAAGAGTAGCAGCAAGAGCAGCAAGAGCAGCAAGAGCAGCAAGAGCAGCAAGAGCAGCAAGAGCAGCAAGAGCAGCAAGAGCAGCAAGAGCAGCAAGAGCAGCAAGAGCAGCAGCAGCAGCAGCAGCAGCAGCAGCAGCAGCAGCACTAGAGCCTTCTTTCGGTTGTTCACGTGCAGCTTCTTGGCAATGATCATGGCAATAAATCGAGCACGATTTCCGAGCAGCTCCTGCACGTTGTGCAGCAGAGCTTCAGGAGGCACTGTGCATGCGGCTCCTTCTCGAGAGTAAGCTTCTGGATCAAGTACTTCTTGCGCACCTCATACCTGGGGATGAATGCCCACCATGCCAGAAACATAAAAACATAACAAATTCACCACCTGGTCTTGATAATTTTCTTATGTGGGAGCAGTGTTGGGCCCCTCCCGGTTCCCTGAAAGGGGATGCGGCCCTTCAAACCCCCACCCCAACGCTCCCACCCCCGGAATTTGTCAGAGAACCGTCTTTCAGCCTGGAAGCTCGTCTTCATACTTGCCTTTTTAGAAGGAGTCCCCAGTAAAGAGGGTACAGAATTCAGTGGCGACATTTCGTACCCAAAGTGCGCACTAACAACTAAGTGTTCACTCTCACCCTGAACATGCAACTGTCGGCAGGCACGATTTCTCCTATGCTACAAGACTTATCCGCCACGTGGCATCTTCAAGCGTACTTTCGCAAACTCCTGCATGATGTCCTTTGCAGCCTTGTACTTCTTGATGCGACCCTCGCTGTCGAAGAGCACCATGTTGGTCTCGCTAATGTTGCTCTTCAAACGCATGACCGCTTCGATGCCCTCTTTCTTCTCTGCATCCTTGAGCTTGCTGCCGTCCATGCGAACAACAAAATGAACGCTTCTGTCCGTGTGGTATTCCCTGACCTCGCTGCAGAAGCGTCATGCAAACATGGAGACCGAATTCTGAGTCCATAGATCACTGAGTTGTTAGCATCGTAGATGTTCAGCTTTGTCTTCTTGTGATCCCCACCGGGCATGTTGCCTTGCAGAAACCTCAGAAGGAGCTTCCAAACGTCCAGGAATGGTGCATGCCAACTGATACTTGCAGCAATGCATGTCCAAGACACTCCTTGTAGTCCTGCGTCCACTTCCGCAGCGGCAGCTCCGTTATCTGCAGGATGGTGCTGCTTGTCTGCGTGTACGCACCATGGCAGTCGTATTTGCCTAGGGGAATGCTCATATGGCAGGAGTGGTGACAGACTTGCATGTGCTGCTACTGCGTTCCAGCAGCCGGACTCTCCGGACGGTCTGATCGTGCCGGTAAATCCTCGATACCATGGCTGCATGCTTCGCATTGGCTTTTTCTTGATGAACTGCCGCATGTTGGCCTGGGCTGCACTTTGACGTACATAGAACTGTACAAATATGAGCTCTGAATTATACGTAGTCTATATGTATAGTATAATATATACACAGAGGGCCCTCGCGCATGCAACGCTCCTTACTCCCCACGAACAATCACAAAGCACACGTTTTTTGAGGCGTTAGAGTAAAACACCTCTGCCAAGTGAAAGCTACATTGAAGACTCCTACGACAAAACAAGAGAAGACAACTCGCCTTGGAAGAAAATATGTTCGATCTTTGCTGTTTGTCATCGAATGCACACCTCCCTACTCCCTCCCAAATTGAAAGTTTTGAAGCTTTGGAGAAAGGAGGTTGAAGATCCCTGCGAAAGGTCACCGGATGACACATTTCCTTAGTAAAAAGAAACCCAAAAGCTCAAGGATTCAATTCCAAAGATCTTGAGACAAGACTTCTCTTTGTTAATGGTGCAACCCAAATTAGTAAGTTAGTGCCCCATGCGCTGAACCCTAAAACCCTAGTCCTGAACCCCAAAAACCCTGAAACCCTAAAGAAGCCTGAAAAGCCTAGGAAAAGCCACAAATCTTGAAAAACCTAACCTTGACCCTAAAAACCCTAAAACATTAAACCCTAAAATCCTAAACCCTAAAGCCCTCAATCCCAAACCCACCCCACCACAGGGGTTCCAGGGTCGGACCACGGGTGGGGGCCAGCGAACCTGTACCGTGCGTGCGCAGGTGCGGGTGCGACTGCACCTGTGCCTGTGCACACGTGCGCGCGTGCGTGTGCGTGCGTGCATCCGTGGGTGACCCAGCACAGACGATCACGAAGGGCAGCCACTGGAATGTCAAGTCATGACCCGAGTGTTCCGGCAGCCTCGCCTCAACACATATGAACATTTGGGTAGTCCGTCTTGTAAAGCCTGACAAACTGGAATGACTAAGTTCCTTTACTGTGCTTTTCGTTCTCTGCGAGGTTGGTCTCGAGCGGGGGGGTGCATACATACAGCATGCCTGCATGCGTGCATGCGTGCATGCGTGCATGCGTGCATGCGTGCATGCGTGCATGCGTGCATGCGTGCATGCGTGCATGCATGCACGTATGCATGCATGCACGCATGGAAACATACCAACATACATACTGACAGACATACATCTCTACATTTATGTTTTTTTATGCTTATGTTTGTATGTCTGTGTACAGATACCAGCTTTTCATATGATCACCACCTCACACAGACGCGGACACAGACACGGCCACGGACACAGAACGGCAGACACCCCCAAGCATCCAAGCTGCAATGATGTCCAGCGGGTTGTAGTTTGGGACTGACGTGCTCCATCCAGTTCCTTCGTGTGATCGCAGGAGGCAGCAGCCGAGGCGACAGGCATGGCACGGGTCTCAACTTGAAACTGAGGAGCCGATGCCCTCCGTACCGTTTACCAGGATCAAAGGAATGATCGGCGCATACCTGTTCAGCGTGCTCCGTGATGCTGTGGAAGAGCATCCTCACACTCTCTCAGCTGCGCTTGGGTCCGAGCCAAACTGGCTCTATCTTTTGTCCTTCTTCCACCTGCAGCGTAGTGCATACACAAATCTCGCCTCAAGGATAACATTCCCCCCCAAGGCCTGGTAGTCTAGGATTGGATCATCGAGAGGATTGAACAGCAAGCGGGCAATGGTCGCCAATCTGCAGCCAAGAAGCGTCACGCACCATCGTGCAACACCAGAGCTACCAGCCTCGTGTAGATGTAGCGTGCACTTGCGGCATCCTGACATGCAGGGCCAAGGTACGGCCTGCTGTGCTCGAGCCCCGACCAAGCATTCTACGTATTTCCACGTGATTGCAGAGTTGCTATGATTGGCAGTCACTTCCGCCTTTCCACCCTGTGCTCGCGTCCCAAATTGTCCAGAGGGAACCAGCAAGTTCAAGTTGTTGGATCCAACGAAGTCCTCCACGTGTTGAGGGATGTTGAGGGAATAGGTCACTGCTGCAGACCTGTCAGATTGCGGCATCCTGCGCCATGGACACTATTGTCCCGGCGAGGGATGCTTCTCCATGGTGGTACGCACTGTGCTCACCTGAACCATGTCCCAGTGGAAGATCGCTGCCTCTGCAGAAACATGCGCTCTGAGCTGCAGGCCCACATACCCCACCAGCTGCGCCACCTTGACATCAGATCGAAGGTTGCGCTTGAAGCAGCAGTACAGGACCTGGCCATGTGCAGAGCATGGCGACCGCCACTGTTGGTTGCTGCCGGCTTGTGCACAGAGGCCTTGCGCTGTGTAGGCTTCAGGCCATCCATGACGGAAGGAACGCTTCTCATCAAGTCCTGAGCGCGAGCAGCAAAAGTCTTGAAAGGCGAATCCAAGTTGGTCCATCAAGTTGAATCGAATCAAGGGGAATTCGTCGGAGCATGCGAGTTGTCCTTGCGCCATCAACCCGAGAAGCCCTATGACCTTTCCGTTACCTGACTAGTGCCCGCACAGACTACGAGGCACAGCGGGTGTAGATGGAGCAATCCTGAAGCGATTCATGTTGCCACTAAGACTCGTAACGAGAGAACTGCACCAGCTCTTTGTTGACCTGACTGAGGGCACTTTAAGGAGGATTGAGGACAGTGACTAAAGTTTTTAAAGCCGCTCAGGGCTCAACAAAGTCTTCATAAGACACGGCCGACTTGGAGTGGTCCAGAAATGTTCCCTCCTGTTGGCGCATCTTTGCAACATGGCCGCGCAATGTCTCGCAATCCCGCCGTGGCTTGTGCTTCTTGTGCTTCCCTGCCTTGTACTTGTTCATCCAAGACTTCCGATCGTTGGAGCGTCCTTTGTTAAATGCCATGTCGATCAACTTGTTCTCGCTTGCGCCCTTCCACCTCGGGAAAGTTGACAATGGTCTGGCATGGTCTGGCCGCGTAGTTCAAAGCTGCTTCATACAGTACCCCCCGCAACGATTCTGCACGGGAGACACATGCATCTGGGGGATAGACTTGAAATCAATGCGATGGTCGTGGATGTTCCCAAAATATTCTTTGGCTTCAGCTGCGGTGCTGGTTCCCAAGCCTTTGTAGTACTTGATCTTCCAGCCAGCACCATCTTTTGTCTTTTGCTTCCACTTCTCGTACTCAACCATTGTAAAGAACTGCAGGACTGTTCCATCCTTGGTTGCCTTGACAATCGGAGTGACGAACTGCTGCAGAAAGCCCTTGTTGCTTCGGAGCCTCAGCTGCGTCTCGAAAACACCGTGAATATACCAGTGGTCTGCTTGAAATCTTTGTTTTATCTTGCCATCGTATCATATCCCGCCGAGAAGCAAGTCGGGCCAAAAATAGTGAAAAAAATTGATCAGGAGACCCTTGATGTGCGAGCCATCGTAATCCTGGTCTGCCATGATCATCACCTGCGAGCAATCAAGAAGAAGAACGGCTACTAGAATCTACCTTAAAACACACTATAGAAGATGAACCATTCTGCGTGGCAGCTTGCGGCCAGAGTTCGCCAATGAGTTTGATGCATGTATGAGACAGGATGGTATCGAGATGTTCATGGAATGTGTTTGTGCGTGTGCGTCTGCGTGTGCGTGCGGGTGTGGCTGGTGTGGCTGGTGTGGCAATAAGTGGAAACACATCTGCAAAATACTACCACAGCAGGGAACACAGCACATCACTGGGCGTGGGAAACCAAAGTTGGCCAATGCGATACAATCAAACTGTGCATGGTGCCATAAATGCTGTTGTGCATGTACAAGTCCTCTGGTATTGGCTCAATTGGTTTTGCCGGTATCAGGCGCAGGTCGAGCCTGTTGCTTGCTCCCATGTGTATTTGGGTATGGACTTTGTTAAATGGCAGACTCCTGGAAGCTCGACATCCAGGCTGTTTAATCTTGGTGAGTCGGCCGTTGGATGTTGGTGCGAACTTCTCAGTTGACACATCTTGGGATGCGATACAACCAAGCTGCACATGGTCCCATACCCCTGCTTAGTGGCTCAATTGGTACTGTTAGTATCGGACACAAGTCGAGCCTGCTGCCTGTTCCCATGCACGTGCGCATGTAAGTGCAAGTGTAAGTGCAAGTGCAAGCGTTTGCCAGTGCAAGTGTAAGCGTAAACACCTCCACATGATGCTATGTAACACTTGGGCGAAGGGAACCGGGGCCAAAAAATAGTCGATTCAAACCGCCGTCAGCGAGTTTTGGCTTTATTTTTCGTGTTGCCATTTCTTCGCGCCCTGAGCTGAAAGCATCAAGGGTCCACGATGTATGCCTGGACAGTCGAAGATCCTCATTACACAGTGCAAGACTTCCGGGGTCGGGGTCTGGAGACCCATGCCCGGAACCCTATGCGATTGCGTAAAAGCAATCTTGTACCGTACGCTGCAGATGGTGCATCTTCACTGTTGGTTGAACAATTCTGGTTCAACGTAACTAAGCAGCACAACACAAACTTTTTGGCGACAATACACTGCTGGAGCAATCAAAGCCCGGAGCATGTGCCTTGATCGGCACATGCACAATTACGTGGAGTACCAGCGCAGTGATGTATGAAGCAAATCAGAGTGCACTAACTCATAACTCCGAACATACCCAAAAAGGGTCCTCGCGCCTTTGTGCCTGGTATGGCGAATCCGGTAGCACTTGAAATAATTTTCACCCCACATGTTGTGGGGTCTTGGACCACAGTTTATCGGTTATACAGCTAAAATGTGCCCCCATGCTGAAACACCAGTACACATTCTCGTGACACTAAGCTGAGCATGTCAGGGTCAGCATACGCAGCATCAGCTGGAACAGGAGAACAGCGTCTTGCAAAACTTGTCTGCGTGGTGCTGTTCTGCATGTTGACGAGGTAAGAACGGCGTCCGCAGAACAGTGCATGTACAGCATGTCAGCGTGATGAGAGCAGGATGTGCAGAGCAGCGCGCGCCAAGCATAGCAATGCAATCTTTGGCAAACCATGCCGATGCAATTATAAAACATATCACGCATCCACCTTCTGCAGCAATTGCTTCATCTACACGTACGGTTCTTCACCGTGTCGAGCTTGTACAAGTTCAAACAATACTCAATGTGATAACTGTGTGCAAGGAAACTCCAAACCTCTTCTGTGTCTGCTGTTCCTGCGGCCTTCCGGACGCAGGCCGTCTACATCAATTAACCGACCCCCTGAAGCACCTTCCCATAGCGAAGGTTATGTACTTTCTTCTTGTCGAAGGACAGTCCGAGGATCTTGACGATGTTCATTGCCTTTCCACGTGTGTCAGAGATGCGAACTTTGCTCGTGCACAACTGTGCATCCAGCAGAGACCTCCTGCCTCCTTGTTTTCAGCTAGCGTTTTCTGGTTGATCTCGCGCACATTCAGCAGTTTGCCACGCAAGGGGAAGACCTCACGTCCAACATGTCAAAAAAACGGAATCTAGCAATATGTTGTAATGTTGCAATGTGCGCTGGCAGCAGGCCAATCATCTCAGCCAGGGGCGCCATACTTGTCACGACCAAGGACAGCCAGACCCGCCACAGCAAGTGCTTTGGCACTGTCCCCTTCGGTCAAAATCAGCGTGCACTCCTTCGCACAGGAGGGAAAAGAGAAAAAAATGATGAACGGCAACTGCAAAAAGAGCACTGGGCAGAGAGACAGACAGAGAGAGAGAGAGAGAGAGAGAGCGAGAGCCAGAGCGAGCAAGTGCGCTCGGAGAGGGGAGCCCAGGAGCCCCCATCCGCGCCCCACCTTCGACAGCCTGCCGCCTGGACGAGGCAAAGGCAATCCCAACGGGCCGTGCAATACGCCAATACGCCTTACAGAATGCCGAATGCACATAAATGCACATATGTTCAATTTCACAAAACTGAAAGCAACTCCGACCCCAAGCATAACTCAGCATAGCCGAGAGCCTGCTTCATTTGCATCTTCCAGCTTAGGAACTCCCAGCCTTTGCGCAACACCAGACGTTTCTGTTTCGCATCACTACGTATCAACTTATGTTTCAGCCTGCACCACACGAGCCGTGAGTCCGCTGCACTCGCTTTCCATGACTCGCCTTGGAGATGCTCTTGTCCATCTGGAGAGTCATTTTGGATTGGGCCTCCGCTTCACCGAGAGTAGAGATGGCATACGGTTTCTCACCATGTTTCACCATAACTTTCAGGTTCTGAGCCTCAGAGATGACCGCATCTACAATGCCCGTGTTGCTCAGCACCTCCAGTAACTCCAGCTTCCCAAGTGGGCATTCGCGAAATGGCTTCTGGAATTCTCGAGGCATCTACTGGCGATCGCAAACCTCATCAATGAAAGCGCGGGGCAGACTGCAGTGGCTGCCGAACATGGAAGCCTGGCAGTGGACTTAAAAATCACTAAGTGAAGGTGTTGCAGGGCATGAAACAACCGACACACCTTCAGTGTCATCTGCTCCTTGGTCTGCGAACTGAAGGCGGGGTTCTCAATCAGGCCTCACACACCCCAATTCTGAACATGCCGGCCCACGCAGGCGTGCTTACACAGGTGTACTCGGAGCCCAGCAGTTGATGAACAACCACAGATGGCTCTTCACGTGCCTTCTTGCGTCTCTTCTGGCAGTACCAATTCAAAGCGAGTGCATGTAGATTCAAGAAGCCAAGATGCACTCGCTTGATCTCGACTCCCTTGCCTGCCTGTTTTGAGGCCTGGCATTCAGATCACGGCTCGCAAGGCAACCAGGCAACGCGCGTTGGAGACAACACCGAGCCTTGCTCGCAATTGCGTCCACCAGCTGGTCCAGAATGTAGTTGACATGCCTCAGATGTAAGCTCCCTACATGTAGTCGTAACAAACGAACTGCTTCACAGCATGTCTGTTAAAAGAAGCCTCCAGTGGTCCAGGCTGCGAAAGTTGTTTGGAAGTACAATGAGTAAACACCTGCAAGCCTGCAAGCACCATGCAAGCACCTGTTGATCGCGGAGGCGCGTTCCCCCTTTGGGGGTGCTGATTGCGTTCACGAAGGAGTTCTGCGCAAAGCCATCACCATCAGAGCGAGCAACCAGTACCTCAACCGAGTGAATCCAATGCAATCAAAAGTCTCGGCATGAGAGTGGGAGTAACCGGCTGGAGACTGCATGTCTCGTGTGGCCAAGGAAGCCAGGAGCAAGAAGGCAAGCAGGAACAAGTAAACGCTCGGAGATCGACAACCGTAGCAGAATGCTGATGTCAATCAAAAACGAGCAGGCAAGCGTATGTGGCTCCGATGAAAAAGCGCAACATTCCGCCGAGGCCCCAGACCTAAATCGCTCGGGGAAAAAGACCAAACCCACCTCCTTTTTGCCCTGAAAATGTCTGGTCCGGGGCCCTATTCGGGGTTGGCTGAGAGGCCCATGGTCCCCTCGCCTCCGCCCGCTTGAAAGACTCACTTGGTTTCATTCCACTCGTCGTCCTTCTCAATTGAGTCGTGCAGACCGCGCCATGGCAGGGCCCGCGATAGCGTTTAAATTCATCATAGGGGCTCCTTGTAAAGTTTGGGCTTTTCTGATTTCTACGGGCCTGTGAAGAGATCTGAATAATTGACGCGGTGCGCAATAATGCTGATTCACGCGCTCGCAAGCAAGGCCAGTTGCAATGAGTATGATTTTAGAAGGCTACTTAATAATTTCATCGGTACTCTTCCGATTTATTTCTATTGCTGCACGGCGTAATAAGTAAGAGTGAGCCGTGCATTGCACTGAACGAAAGAATGCTGGAATAGCTCGTAAGAAAGAAAACCAGAGAATGAAATGAAACCAAAAAGCCATTCAAAAGATGTGACAGTGAAATCGTTCTTGGCACTCAATATTGGGTTTTTAAAGGCTTGCAGAAATGCTAAATCATTCAACATACGAAATACAATAATGAGAATAGTAAGAATCAGAGCAGACTTGCGGTGCCCCCGACAGCATTAAGCAGGTCCGGCCTGCCAGCGTTTGTTGAGCTGTGCATAGGCATAGCCGTCCTCACCATGGAACTGCTGGCAGTAGTCCACAAAGTTCTTGACTGCCAACTTCCCTCAAGAGGAATTCGGAATGCACGTATCGCAACAGCCGAAAGAATTTAACAAGCTGCCCACATGCAGGCAAGATGCTGCCATTCAAGTACACAGAACATCGGTCTCCGCTGGTTCCTGGCGGGATGCTTTGCCGGAACGAACAAGACCCTTTAACTTCTCAAGCACGACTGCAATCTTAGCACGATTGGGACAGAGACTATGGCCTCCGATGTCATAGACTCTGCGCATCATGAGGGCGACTGTGTCGGCCTGGCACCACAACACAGGCGAAGCACACCAAGCCACTAAAGAACCCAGCCCTTTCACAGCATTCTGGGCCTCAAGCTCCTTCATGCCGAACTTGGCGAGGTCCTCTCGCGCGGCTCGACCGGCGGCTCTCTCAAGCTCAGGTCGCTTCTTATTCACCGACGAGAAGCTGGCCAGAATTCCACCGAGGTGTAGGATGTTGCAGACCCCTGACGTGCAACAGATGCAGCAGCCAGGCCATCGCGCTTCCACAAACAAATTTTCACAGCCTTGGTAACCTGCGGCTTGCCCTTCTTACCTCAGCTGACCCTCCGCTTACAAATCATGGCACCTATGAGCGGGGTGTCGGTGTTCAAACAAGCCCAGTTGCTCATGTTGGCAGTCCATTCCTGCTTGTACTTCTTGCCGCTGCCTCTCACAAACGCACAGCGGCGAGAAGTACGGCACGAAAACTCTGACACAATCGATACCTCTGGCAACCCTTGTACGCGAATATGAAAGCTGAAGGCCTGCCGTCTCAATGACGAGCTTCCTTGCAGAAATGCGAGGGCGATGCAGGTCCCCCCGCCCCATAGTGAACGCACACGACTGCAATAGTTGCATGAAAGCTTCCGGCTAAAAACGTTGGTAAGCTTTGCTCCATAGCCGTTGCGACCTCCAGTAACCTTGCCTTACGTGCAACAAGCTCCACATGTCTGGAGAAAACTTTGAGAGAAGACTGCATGCTCTGCAGATTGCTACCCAACTGCAGCGGAGCAACGTTCGGAATCATCGTAGTTGTCGCTGGTGAGCAGATGGCCAAAAACCAGCTCCGGAACGAAAACCTTGTACTTCTTGTGCCTTGCATCAACACTCGCCCTGAAACCCCGCCCACTGGAACGTCGGAACATGATCACAAAGTGAGGGACTGGCAGCTGTATGGGAATTCCCTTTCCATCATTCCACACTTTGATCCTTCCTGCATTCACACGGAGCTGTGCCTACTGCTAGAAGTACGGAAATGGTTCAGCAGAAACCTGTACAGTTCAGATAGCTGGACGGAGCTCTCTGAGTTTAGAGAACAAAGCATGCAGCGAGTGTGTGAGTGTGGTCGACCCGTCATGTGTAGTTGTGCGTTTGTATGCATTTTGGCCTTTGGACCGGTCAATGTCGACCTTGATCGCCTGGCTGCGATGCGGCACAAGAATGTAGCTTCAATTCAAGCGTAACCAATACACTCCGTGCACAAAAGAACCTGCCTTCATCTTGGAATCCCTCTGCAGGTTGTCAGCTGCATTGACAAGGATCTCGTCGAAGATTTTGTACAGTGCCGGCACGTAGCTGATGTCCCTGTGCTCCATTTGACCCTGCCGCAAATGCGGTGCAAACACGGGACATACACCATGGTGGTTGGTAGACAGGCCATGACTCTCCTGGGTAGAGACCAAAGCTAGTTGAGGGAGCTTCAGGGGAGGGGCGATAGTGCCGGTAGCTCACAAATCCTGCTGCCGTACAACGAACCGTGGCCCGACAGCTGCTGTGTTCACCTGCGTTCTTTTTGAGGAAATACGGAGGCAAAAGAATACGGTGTCGTTGACTTGTTCCTAAACGCTGAGACAATCATGTATCACAAAAGAACTCAACTGTCCCTGATAGGAGACTCATGAGGTGTACACAGTCATACGGAGTCCGGCGGAGTATTTGTATTTTCTGCGTATGAGATAATTATCCTGCAACGACAGCTGCTATGTTTGACTGGACTATTTGCATCTTCTGCATATGGCATACGACACATGCTTCAACGACAGCCGCTGTGTTGGCCTGCGTTCTTGGCGGGAAGTACGGAGGCAAAAGAATACGTTCACGGGAGAGGGTAGCAATGTGGCATCATGAACATTTTTGAGGTCCTAGTTCTTTCCCGAACCCTGGCCCGAAGCATCACCTTTTAAGCACCAAGAAAGGGACCCCTTCCCTCTGCCCACAATCCCGGCATGGCCCGCGGTCTGGCTGGAAAGCCCAGGTCGCGATTGGCATCGATTCGGGGGCCCATACCGAATACCCTTTGTTTCAACTTTACGGTTGACAAAGCTATGTGATAAGGTGTACTTGAAAACGGTCAGGGCTGTAAATGTCTTTTTCGTGCACGTCACCACAGAAGCCAAAGCGGATCTCAAAGCGGGCAAGGCCCAAGGCCACAAAATGCCCCAAAAGGCCACAAGGCCTTCTTGTCGTTCCAGACCCACGCCGATTCATCCTCCGTCCGAGTGATAACTTGCGATTTGATGGTCAAAGACGTACAACTTAGCGGACTCAACGCTTCGGCTTAGCACTGCATGCTGAGGAGTGCGCCTGGTGTTCTATGGAGCCAACATAAGTGTCGGGACCTCAACGGATGGATGGGCATCAGCACATGTGCGTCGTCAGGAAGCCAAGCGTCCGCGCGAAGGAGGATGTGTTCCACCTCTCACAACAAAATGCGAATGGGCACGATCGTCACACAAAAGCTACCGACCTGCGTCTTCTTCTGGTATGTTTGCTCCACCGTTTTGCTTCTCTTGATCTTGGGGGACCCAATGTCATCGCTGCCTCCGACGCAGCCCACGCCAAAACTGACCACAACTGCAACTGCCTTGCACTTGGTTTCACTTGCCATGCACTTTCTCTTCGTCAGTTCTTTGTCCATACTTCCCCTGCTGCGCAGCCTCGGGATCCTTTTGCACCGCGGCCTCGCCCTCGGCCTCGGCCCCGGCTTCGGCCCCGGCTTCGGCTCCTTCGAGAACTGCACTTTGCGCGGCACTTTGCACGGCACTTTGCGTGGCACTTTGCACAGCTGTGTGAGTTGCACCTTCCCCGTGGTGGCATGATGGTAGCACTTCGAGAGCGACTACAAGTTACAACACGAAGACTGCAGCCGAACACGTTTGATGCGAGTGCCCTTGGATACAATAGTCAATGGTGGCTCGGAACCTTGACCGTCGATGTGTCTGTCCGATGCTTGTCACGATGTCTCAGAGCCACAATGGCTGGAATGCAATGAATCTCGAGTTTACGTTCAGCAGCGCTCTCAGCTGTTCAACAGAGTCATTGACGCCTCCATGCGACCATGCTCGGAAGCGAGATGGAGTGGCGTGCGGCCGTCTACATCGCAAGCCTCCAGCAGAGGGCGAGCCGCAAGAAAGCTTCGATACCTCATCCATCCTACATCCTAGCCTGCGGAACAGCCGCGTGCCTCTAGCACCAGGCCGTGATCGTGCAACAGCGCTATCATCTGGCACGACAGGCTGCACTTGAATGTCAAAACGTCTGACCGTCACACCAGCGCGCTGCAGCCGGGAAAGCGTCGGACCCCCTCCCAGAAGGACATTAGAAGTAAACTAAGCTCTAAACGAACCCCAATAAACTAAACCCTAAACTCTAAACCTAAATTTCTAAAACCCTCCCAGAAGGACATCAGAACAAAACAAAACAGAACTCCAAAAACCCTCAACCCAAAACACTGTAGCCCAGAACCCTTCTTGGAGGTTCATGGTACTTAGTAACCCAAATATAACTGTACTTATAGTTCCAGGGTTTAGGGTTAGGGTTTAGGGTACTTATACCACAACTATAACCCCATTAGGGTAATGGGCTTATACGTGGGTTATAACTACACATATCATGGGTCACTAAGTACCCTGAACCTCCAAGTACACAACTACAGTGTTGAGCTCTTGCCCTAACCCTAAACCCTAAACAGGCTTATAATTGGGCCAAACTGAAAACCTCGACTTTCGAAGCACTACCCCAAACCTCTTAGCCTGAGCGAAGGCTGCGTGAAATATGCCATACCTAGTTAACCTTGACCGTGACCACTTGGGGCAGGGGCAATCGGCAATGAATTTGTAGCGATGCATGCCATGCATGTCTGTGGTTGTGCGACGGTATGTGGGTAGGGCTTTTTGTCTGCATATACTGGCTAGCTTTGCATGCGCATCCGCACACAGTAGCATGGTTGTTGTTTAATCTCTTCTGGAGCAACTGTCCACATTGAGCGTGTTGATGTGTCCTGTCGTTCCTTCAATTTTCTGCCGAAGCTCATCCAAAATCACTCTCTTTGAAGCACCTTTGCAGATGCACAGTAACGAAAGACTCACAAGACTTTGCAGCAGACGCGGGATACGGCCATCTGATCGAAAAGGTCTGATCGTCAAGCTGCACCCAGCTCAAGTCGGCAGTTTCCCACCGGTCACGCGACATGTCCTCGTAACAAGTAGAAACCTGTTCGGAGGAAAACGTCCCGCGGAAGATCGCCGAGTACAAACGAGGAAAGTAGCCACTGCGCAGATGCTGCAAAACAGACAGCACGGACTCATCTGCAGCGGTGCGAAAGTAGCGAGTCATCTCAAAGGACCGGAGCCCGAGTCCTGCACATCTAATGGCCTGAAACGCGCCAAGAAAGTCGGCAACACAGCCGAGGCTGACATGTTCCAAGGAAAGCTGCCTCAAGCCTTCTTGTAATCCGGCTGATGTCAGTTGATGCCCAGGTTTGTATAGGGACAGCTCACGCAGGTTCGGACAGGAAGCTGCAAGAATTTGGAAGGCAATGTCGCCAAGCCCCACCACGCCCGAGAGTGTCAAAGCTCTGAGGGACCTTCCATGCCTTGCAAGCGCCTGCGCAAAGTTGGCGCCTTGATCAGATAGGACCAGAGACGGCCCAGCACGCTCGGAGAATTCAAGTGCCTCGAGCCCTGTGCAATGGGTGTCGCATAAGACGTGCAACAGCGTCGACTCCAAGATTTGTGGTGATGCTGCACGGGTAAAAACCAGGGACAGCTCCCGAAGATTTAACGAGCCCAGGGCAGCAATACCATGGTCTGTGAGTTCGTCAACACCCTCCAGGTGAACAGATCGCAAATTTGGCGCAGCTTTGACAGCCGCCTGCAAGGCTGAGTCCTGCAGGTCTCGAAGCAGACACAGCCTCAGGGGCTCAGGGAGAAGGTAACTCCCGTGACTCCAGTGACTCCCAGTGACTCTAAATGGTGACTAGGGAACCAAATTGGAGCGGGTCTAACAAAACAGAAAAAACCTTTAAAAACCATCTAAACACCCCTGTGGCCCCTTTTTCTCTTCAGAACCTCAGCTCGGTGAGGTGGCTTGGAAGGTCCCACAGGAAGTGGCCCGGGATGTCCCCAACAAGGTCGTAGTCCGACAGGCAGAAGCGGAGCAAATTTGGACAAGACTTCAGGATGAGGGAAAGCTCGCGCTCCCCAACACCCTCGGAGAGCTGCAAGGAGAGCGCTTGAAGGCGACCTCCACCCGCCTCCAGCGCGTCGAAGTATGTCGGCCTCCAGTCTACGACAAACACGCCTATCTCCCCCCGCAGCCGCGGGAAGCGCGAGACGACTAGCAGCAAACACGGAAGCACGGGCAGCAGGATGGGGCGGATCTCCTTATTGTCCTTCGTGCTCTCACAGTCCTCACGGTTCTCACGTTGCTCGTGCAGCGGCTTGGTGGACAAGGCAGGGATGTGGGTCAGCTCACAGCCAAGTTGCCGCCACTTCCGGTTGCAGGCCGTCGCTTCCAGGATATCCACAAAGGACAAAACCGAGATGGCCTGCCCTAAGCTCGAGGCAGGTGCAAGCTCTGCGAGCTCTGCAAGCTCCGCACGCTCCTCCGGCTCCAAGCCACGCCCATCCATGAGACCACAGGTTGACCGGCCAACTCGAGAGATACCAGTGGCTGCACATCAAACAGGGAGGCATGCCAATGATTTCCAAACTTGGCTGGTGACAAACCCCTGGCATGCCTCACCATGGCCGGCTCGAGCAGCCAAATGAACGGCGCCTGCAGGATTCAACACAAACAAGGAACAGCACCCTCGCAAATCGGCTTGGGCTCGTGTTTTGTGCCTGCGGGGATCTGTGGGGCCTGAATGGGCCTGACTTAGTAACTCTCGATGCGCTCTGCCATCTGTGCCCGCAATCCACGCAACTCGGGACAGCCTCTGCCATGGCCATCAGCCGCTGCCACGATCATCCGACGCTGACGGCCTTGACTCAGACGGTGTACTGCAATTTCCGTCAATTTCCTGCCCCGCATCTCACAGTCAAGCCGAGCTCGGCCTTGAAGGTGTCGCCGAGCTACCTGGCAACATTGGTCGACAGCCGTTCTTCGCTGTGTCTTGGGCACAGAATGAAACTGTGCCGCCAGAACGTCAAGCGCGCCCTTCTCAGCTGCTTTCAGGAAAGCCTGCTAAAGCCGGTTGGAGACTCCGAGACTCCCGCGATAACTCCCCCGAAAGTAAAGCAACTGGGCATGTGGCAGCTGCTTGCACTGATGCCTCTAGCAGACTTCTCCAGACTTCAGTCATGACTAAATCCACCCATGGTCAACTGAGATGTTGAGGGTCATCAGCATCACACTGCAACGGGTGCAATGGGTGCCTCATCAGTGGCCATCAACACATAGAGTCAACCCGGTCAATGACTCAGCATGCCAATGGTCACATCTGCACATTGGAGCACCTCACGCTGCAGTCACTGTGTTCTTTGCAAACGGTATTGCTGTGGTTCCACAATGCTCCACCTACCAGCGTGATCTTCTCAGGCACTGGCCAGGTGCACCGCTTCGGTGCTGGCAACGCTACGAACAGGGGCGGCCAAGATCGATGAGGCGCGCGTGAGACATCATGAAGTGGCATGCACTTTCACACTATAGTCGCAAATGTTTGCATGGCACTGGGATGGCATGCGCGCGGGCTGCTGCTGCTGCTGCTGCTGCAACTCGGCTTGACTCCTTTTGCGCTCATTGCTGAGAGAGGTCTTTGCTCCTGACTTTCGGTGCGGCAACCTGCATTCTTGCAGGGAAGACACTGCTCTCCGAAGGCATGGTTTTGACACGTCTTGGCACACATCTTGGCACACGAGAGTGACAGGCCTCGTTTTGAATCGATTGCATGAACGCGGCAGCCGCCTCTTGCGAGTCCTTCTGCAAGCCCGACCACCTGTCACGGAGTCTCTTCAGAACATCACGCAGTGCCATGTTGCCAACGATCTGGGACGCCCACCATCTGAAGATGCGAGAGGTGACTTCTGCCACTCCGGTCATTTTGCATCTGATGGTTCCATCCTGATTTCTAGATTTGCTTTGCACTTGCCTCGTCCTTTGGAAGTTCGTTGCTACTTCTGCCATTCCAGGTCTCGGGCTTCCGAGGGGGGAAAGATCTCAACCTGCGGAGTGGAGGCTTGCCCGTGCCAGCGTAGCCCCCGAGACGGCAGATGCCGTCAGGGCCTCTGAGATCTCGGAATCGTCCAGGAAAGGGTAGCCCAATCCTGCCTGCGTGAAGTCGCACTTCTCACAAGAATTCTGAATGCTTCATAGCGCTTCTGGGCACTTCAAGCGGCATGACACAGCTGCCAAAGCCTCCAGCGTCTGCATGACCAGCCGGAAAGGTCCCTCAACAGGCTCCTGCATTTGACGAGGGATATGAATTAAAAGCGCCAGGATCTCAACCTTGTGTCCTCCAGCTGCTTGCACTCTCTTGTGCAGAAGAAAGAGCCCGACTTAGCTGCCGAACACGTCTCCCCAACTGCCAGATTATTGATGCTGAGTGGCGCACGCTTTCGCTCTCGGCCTTGTGTCTAAGTACCATGCCCAAGCCTCAGCGAAGAGAAAGAGCGGAGGCGCATGAGACGGAAATGAAGAAATCAGGAGAGGGGTGCATGAGAGGTCATATCTTGGCGCAAGACCTGGCTTCAGGGGGCCAAGCCTCAGAATCATTCAGAATCCTTCAGAATCATTCATCTGCGAATGATGCGTGAACCCTCTTCCTGAGTCTTCGTACGTCGGGCTTATGCGGTCTATTGCTTTACAGCAACCAAAGGGCATCAGGCGCAATGTGCACATCGGGAGATGGGGGAGACAGGGACCCGGTCAAGAGGCACGAATTTGTGGAAGCACTTGCACGACCGGTCATGGAAACGGTTCGAAGCCCTTCGAAGAGAAACAAGATCTCCCACCCGAACTCGGGTTTGAGTCCCCAGCTGGACAGCTTCGAGCTTCCGCTTCGGATTCGCGAAGGGCACCTCCTCCGCGACATCTTCGGCGACATCCTCGGCCTGGCCAAGAGGAAGACAAATGAGGCAACAGAAGAAACTGAGAGGAAGCACAATACTTGCACGTAGCCTCCGCCTCCGGAGAGCTCTTCTCCTGTGACCCGCTTTGCTCGCAGAGGACCATGCTAACATCGGCTGTCTGCAGTACCTGGGCTCTCCGCCCCCAACCGGAACAGCCTTCGCATGCGGGCATGTGCTTGTCCATCCGAGGTTTCCGCCGGGTGCTCCGGCGACCTGGCACATCTACAGTCAAGAACCTCGCACCTTCCGGGCTTTCCGTTCTGCCATGCTTTCAACAGGTCTCCAGGCACCACCGCGACGGATCTGTGAACTGCGCCCAAAACTCTTCGCCTTAGCTCATCCCTTGCTGCTCCAGCAACGTCAAAACAGCGAAACACGCAGATCTCAGTCGAATGGCGCGATGCCCCTTTGAACGAATGGTCAGCTTTCCAGACCTTAAAGATTGCGGTGAGGGCAGTTCACATGCTGGAGCTGCTGGCTGCACACTTGTCTGTGTACTCGGCTACCTTTGCCGGACCGAACTTTCGGTACAGGAGGTGATCCGCAATGTAGACCGCCATGACCTTTGTCGTCACTTTCACTTTAACACACACAGGGACATAACCCGGCAAGACAAGAGCTGGGCGGCAGACGGCAAACACGAAGACGCACCACCAAAACAAACAAAACTTGAAAACCTCGCAAGGGCCGTGCTTCAGACCAGATTCACAAACTTGCATGAAAAGCTGAGTTGTGGGCCATAGGATACGCTGCCAAAAACTTGCTCTTCTTTTCACCCTCGGGCTTGCTGCTGATGACTACAACCGTGAGACAAACTGCGGCAAGCCAAAGTGGGGCAGCGGGGCAGATACATCAAGCTAACGCTTTAAGTGGGTAACTCCGCTAATTTTGGCCTCGGAGGTTTTCGGGACACCCTATAGACCCCACATGGACCCCATCTTTTATGGGGTCGGTATCTTGCGCGCATCGGATTCTCCATTCGGTGTTTAGCATGCATGACATGCCTTCGGCAGAGTCCTGAGTGCCAGGCTCCATAAGCTGCACAAGGATAAAGCCTGGCCGACATTGACTCGGACTGTAACCCGTTCAGCGAGAGGCCCAAGCGCGGCAGCTTCACAACACAAGCAGGGTGGCGATCAACACCTCACAGCGGGTCTGCAGAAGCAGATCCAAGCTGCAAGCCACAACGTGATCTGATATCCTCTTGTACTATCTTGTACTGGCATCTTCGTTCTGTTCTTGTCGGAAGATTTGGATCCTTTCGTGAGGGTGGCTTGAGGGTGTGGCTTCCGGTTCCTTCAGGCGATGTCGGACGATCAAGCTCATGTCTCGTGCACTTTCTCTCTCATGTCCCTTTCACCTGCAGGTTCTTCTGGTAGGACATCATTGCCACCGTGGCTGGAAGCTGCAAGACACGGAGCTCGAATCACAGCTATGTGATTTCCAATGTCATCCTTCGAAAGCTACGTGCAAACAAGCACAACAGGACAACAACACACCTAAGTCCATAAACCTTGCCTACAAGCGAGGTTAATGGCAAAACTGCCAAACTGTGGCTGTCTGGTTTGTTTTCCTACGTGCTGGAGCCACATCCCAGCGAGACCACGCTTCGCGGTAAAGCCGTGCTGTCAGGACTTCGAAAGCTTGTCAAACGCCGTAAAGCCCTTTGCGGCCGTCTTACCGATAATCGAAGAGGCCTTGCTTTCCACCGCGCTAATCTGCTTGCATGCCAGCCGAATTATGAATTACAAGTGATGCATGAAATCTTGCTTGCTCCTCGCTGCGCCTCTGATGCATGGCAGCTGTATCAACTGTGCCTGTTACCAAGTGCGGTTCTATGCGAACTGGCAGCCATGAACATGTTGCATACAGGCTTTGCCCTTGGGATCGGGTGTGACAACATGGGCTCTCACGCACCGCCGCGTGTCGCTGCTAGACTGTCTCGAAGCCCGTCCTGCAAATCACTGCCAGCTGTGAGCTACGACTCGACGGTGAGCGCAGTGCTTATTCATGTCATCAGAAATCGGAAACTACGGAAGCATGTGGGAAGATGTGGGAAGACATGGGAAGCCAGGCCCTGCAGCTGCAAGCGTTTTGTCGTCTCGTGGTCAGTCGCGGTCAGTCCCAACTCGCAGTGATGCGCAGAGTGTCCGTGCTGGGGCTTGGTGACACATCACCAGGCTTGATGTCCTGGAGTTCTGATGCAGTTCTCATGTGTGCTGATGTCTTCAGACATGGAACATTTCTCAGACTGCCTTGTCTGTGCTGGCTTTCCTGTCGCAGTAAGAGGCATAGGAAGGTGACCCAGCTCGACAACAAACTTACAGAAGTCGGTGCCTGAATCCCGAAGCAGATGCTGAAGTGGCCTGCGCACCACGCTACAAAGGGAGGCTTCAGCCGGTGCAGCCCCATTGAGTTCGATTTTGCTGTATATGTAAATGTAGAATGCAGATCATCAGATCATATACTTCAATAGCATGCAGTATAAGATCATGTCATATAGCGATATTGTATAAAGTAGAATGAACTCCAATATCAACATAAGCAAGACTCAACGTAGCACAACACACAATGTAATATCACACAAGATATGACAAGTTAGTGCAGAATATATACATATATATACACACACAGCAAAATCATATGCGTGTATACAGATGTATTCCTCCGGGCAACCTCCTACACTCGGTAATCCCAAATGCTGCAACTAAGCCAGAGCAAATAACACAATGTAAACCCTGAACAGAATAACTGGGTGTAATCTTCGTTGGCCTCACAAACCCAACTCTTACAACCTCTGTAAATGCTGACTCTCTAAACAGCAGTTACTTCATGCTGCATCATTTCTTCTTAGGAGACGTACAACCGCCTGAAACACCCTGAAATCAAAAATGGATCAGTCAAGCATCTAAACAAAACCTTCTGGCTTGCGTACGCCTCTTCAGGGCTATAAAGTTCTAATCCTATAGGTCATGCCTAAACCTTAAACCCGAAACCTGTTGGAAGGTCTCAGGAAATAGTGAAAAGAGATGTGCTGAAAGTATTCTCGCATCCCCGGGACTTAGAGTAAATTAGTTTTTCGCTCACCCTATGCACTCGAATACTTCCTAGTCCTATGCTTCGAGGCTTACCATCCTTCCATCCCCATTATCTGTATTTGACATACTATATATATAGACATATATATATATATATTACACCCCATATACATAGATGCTGTGGGCACTCATTCTACATTCTCTTTGCATTTTCACAGGAGGCAAGCCCTACAAACCAAGGCATAACCCTGCGGAATTTACGGCTTAGGGATTTAGGCATCAAGCCCTTCAGGGTTATAAGGTTCTAATCCTATAGGTAACCCTAAGGGTCCATGTACCTAATTATTATATACTTGGACCCCAAATGCCCTGTATACCAAGTACTTTAAGGCCCAAGTATTCCCTATTTAGGTACATGGACCCTTAGGGTAATGCCTAAACCTTAAACTTCAGATTGAGGGTTCTTGTGGAGTGAAAAGGGTATGAAAAACATGGATCTTGGGGTGGGAGGGCTACCATATATATATATATATATCTTGTGCATATGCACATATGTACATATGTATATATATATATATATATGAGCCCGCCGCCTTTAGGGTCTATTTAGCTTTGGGTTTTTCTTATTGCTTTAAAAAAGCGAATATAAATATCGTAATACAAAGGTACATATTTACACCTACATATGGCACACAGATCTCATGCCCAGCAGTTCTAGGCCTAGCCGCACGCAATTAGCCGTGAAATTGCTCGCGGCATTTTCTCTTACGCCACGAACTGAAATAGGCATTTCATTGCATATCTGCAAGGTCACTTTCCCTTCATGTCATAGCAAAATCCAGAAACTGCTTTCGGTAACGGCTTCGCCGCTCGCAGTCATAGCAAAATCCAGAAACTGTTTTCGGTAACGGCTTCGCCCGCTCGCAGTCATAGCAAATTTCAGGGACTGTTTTTGGTAACGGCTTCGCCCGCTCGCAGTCATAGCAAAATCCAGAAACTGCTTTCGGTAACGGCTTCGCCCGCTCGCAGTCATAGCAAAATCCAGAAACTATTTTCGGTAACGGCTTCGCCCGCCCGCAGTCATAGCAAATTTCAGGGATTGTTTTCGGTAACGGCTTCGCCCGCTCGCAGTCCTAGCAAATCCTAAAGACTGTTTAAGGCTTCGCCCACTCGCAGTCATAGCAAATCCCAGTGACTCTACAAAATAAAACAAAAAAGTAAGCAACGAACAAAAAATAATGATGGAACTAGCCTGTTTCCGTTTCACTGTATAGATCGCAAGCATAATTTCATTGTGTCTTGACGCAACATAGTGTGCCAAAGTCTCTGTATCGTAAGCATTGTTTTCTTTGCGCTTTAGCACAGTTTTATGTACTAAGGTCTTTAAGGCGTAAGCACTTTTAACGGGAAAGAGCGAGTAGGATAACTTGTGATAACTACGACAATTTATCATAATTATGATGGGTCACCGCCTATAGCGGTTCCCCTGTGTTTTTTGCACATTCCCTTAAACAGTTTAAACCATTTAACCATTCAACCAATGGTTTCCCCATACGAAAATCCCTAAAACCATTAAACCATTAAACCGTTAAACCATTAAACCATTAAACCATTAAACCATTAAACCAGTAAACCAATGGTTTCCCTTTATGAAAATCCCCAAAACCATTAAACCATTAAACCATGAAACCATTAAACCATTAAACCATTAAACCAATGGTTTCCCCCTTATGAAAAACCCCCTAAACCATTAAACCATTAAACTATTAAACTATTAAACTATTAAACCATTAAACCAATGGTTTCCCCCTTATGAAAATCCCCTCAACCATTAAACCATTAAACCATAAACCATTAAACCATGAAACCATTGGTTTCCCCCATATGAGAATCCCCTTAACCATTCAACCATTTTCATGGGGGGGCAACCATTGGTTTAATGGTTTAATGGTTTAATGGTTTCATGGTTTAATGGCTTAATGGCTGAATGGCTTAATGGTTTAATGGTTTAATGGTTTCAGGGATTCTCATATGGGGAAAACCATTGGTTTAATGGTTTAATGGTTTAATGGTTCAATGGTTTAATAGTTTAGGGGATTCTCATAAGGGGGAAACCATTGGTTTAATGGTTTAATGGTTCAATGGTTTAATGGTTTAATGGTTTAACGGTGCTCCTGCCGAGGTACCTCGTCCGCATCTTTTCTGCTCCGAAAAAGCCTGATTCGCACGCAGTGTCCCCTGTGTCTTTTCTGCTCCGAATATTCTGAATCGCAAGCAGTGTCCCCCGTGTCTTTTCTGCTCATAAGTGTATGTATACTATATGGGATTGCGCCTTAAACCCTAACTCCTTAAACCCTAACTCTATAGGGTTTAAAGGTTAGGGTTTAGGTTGAATTGCCGGCTTAGGTTAAAATGCTTCAATCTTGAACCCTAAACCTGTCAACCTTAACCCTATAGGGTTGGGGCGCCTACATCATGATCGGATTTGACGAGCTCTGCGGAAATATCTATATGACAAGGTTATAACTTATTGCTGTGCTTATAACTATGGGTTGGGGTTTGATTTTTATACACTTATGTAAACCCATAAGAATAAGGGGAAGCCCATCACACCCCAATAAGCGAAACAAAACATCTGTCCCAAAGACTTTACCTTAGCTAAGATATCTCAAGCAACCATCCCCCGATAAGCAAAACCTGAATTCCATCATTTAACGATATAGTTTGCTTACATGTTGAATCCCAGCAAGTAGGATATATGTGTATGACAAGGTTATAACTTTTTGCTGCGGTTATAACTAGCGTTCAGGGTTTGATTTATATGCATGTAAATAAACCTATAAGACAATGACGGTAACCCCATCACGCCCCAATAAGCAAAACAAAACCCATCCGGAAAACTCTACCTTACCTAAGATATCTCAAACAACCATCCCCCGATAAGCAAGACTTGAATCCTTTTTGTTTCTATTTTGAAGGACATTTGCTCACAGTATTCGCGCGTCACCGGGACGAAAGCCCTACAAACGTAGGCATAACCCTATGGGATTTAAGGTTTAGGGATATAAGCCTCAAGCGCTATAGGGTGGTTCTATTGTATAGGTAATTAATGCCCAAACCTTAAACCCTAATAACCCTAAACCTTTGAACCCTATAGGGTTCAATGGTTCGATGTATACCTTCAGCACCCTTTAGGGTTAAAACCTTTGTTCCTTGTAGAGCCCTATCGGGCTTTAGGGTTCTGACCCTAAACGAATCAGGGTTAAGGTCTAAATGCCCGAACTTTAAACCCTTAAGGTGAAAACTCTTTGAGTTTTCGTTTTAAATGCCTAAATCCTAAATCCTAACCCCTTAAACCTTAACTCTATAGGGTTTCAAGGTTCGGGTTGAGGTTGAATTGCCGGCTTAGGTTTACATGCCTCAATCTTAAACCCTGAACCTGTCAACCTTAACCCTATAGGGTTGGGGCGCCTACATCATGATCGGATTTGACGAGCTCTGCGGATATATGTATATGACAAGGTTATAACTTTTTGCTGCGGTTATAACTAGGGTTCCGGGTTTGATTCTTATACACTTATGTAAACCCATAAGAATAAGGGGAAGCCCATCACACCCCAATAAGCGAAACAAAACATCTGTCCCAAAGACTTTACCTTAGCTAAGATATCTCAAGCAACCATCCCCCGATAAGCAAAACCTGAATTCCATCATTTAACGATATAGTTTGCTTACATGTTGAATCCCAGCAAGTAGGATATATGTGTATGACAAGGTTATAACTTTTTGCTGCGGTTATAACTAGCGTTCAGGGTTTGATTTATATGCATGTAAATAAACCTATAAGACAATGACGGTAACCCCATCACGCCCCAATAAGCAAAACAAAACCCATCCGGAAAACTCTACCTTACCTAAGATATCTCAAACAACCATCCCCCGATAAGCAAAACTTGAATTATCCTTTTTGTTTCTATTTTGAAGGACATTTGCTCACAGTATTCTCGCGTCACCGGGACGAAAGCCCTACAAACGTAGGCATAACCCCATGGGATTTAAGGTTTAGGGATATAAGCCTCAAGCGCTATAGGGTGGTTCTATTGTATAGGTAATTAATGCCCAAACCTTAAACCCTAATAACCCTAAACCTTTGAACCCTATAGGGTTCAATGGTTCGATGTATACCTTCAGCACCCTTTAGGGTTAAAACCTTTGTTCCTTGTAGAGCCCTATCGGGCTTTAGGGTTCTGACCCTAAACGAATCAGGGTTAAGGTCTAAATGCCCGAACTTTAAACCCTTAAGGTGAAAACTCTTTGAGTTTTCGTTTTAAATGCCTAAATCCTAAATCCTAACCCCTTAAACCTTAACTCTATAGGGTTTCAAGGTTCGGGTTGAGGTTGAATTGCCGGCTTAGGTTTACATGCCTCAATCTTAACCCCTGAACCTGTCAACCTTAACCCTATAGGGTTGGGGCGCCTACATCATGATCGGATTTGACGAGCTCTGCGGATATATGTATATGACAAGGTTATAACTTTTTGCTGCGGTTATAACTAGGGTTCCGGGTTTGATTTATATCCATGTAAATAAACTATAAGACAATGAGGGTAACCCCATCACGCCCCAGTAAGCAAAACAAAGCCTCTATCCTAAAAACTTTACCTAGGCTAAGATATCCCAAGCAACCATCCCCCGATAAGCAAAACCTGAATTCTATCATATGACGATATGGTTTGTGTATATTTTGAATCCCAGGAAGTAGTGAAAGGACGTTTGCTCACAGTATTCTCGCGTCACCGGGACGAAAGCCCTACAAACGTAGGCATAACCCTATGGGATTTAAGGTTTAGGGATTTAAGCCCGAAGCCCTATAGGGCTTTAAGGTTCTATTGTATTGGTAATGCCCAAACCTTTAACCCTAAGCCTTTAAACCCTGTAGGGTTCAATGGTTCAAGAAAACCTAAGGTCTGGGCATGTATACCTTCAGCACCCTTTAGGGTCAAAACCTTTGTTCCTTGTAGAGCCCTATCGGGCTTTAGGGTTCTGACCCTAAACGAATCAGGGTTAAGGTCTAAATGCCCGAACTTTAAACCCTTAAGGTTAAATCTCTATGGGTTTAGGTTTAAAGTTTAAAAATACCTAAATCTGAAACCCTAACCGCTTAACCTTAACTCTATCGGGTTGAACGGTTAGGGTTTAGGTTTCATTGCGGGCTTACGTTTCAATGCCTCAATCTTAAGCCCTAAACCTGTCAAACTTAACCCTATAGGTTTGGGGTGCCTACATCATCATCGACTTGTTGCCGTGGTTATGACGATGGTTTAGGGTTTAAAATATATACATTTATGTAATCTATAAAAAAATAAGGGGAACCGCAATAGGCGGACGCCCTATATGATACCTTATCATAATTATGATAACTTATGATAACTTATCATAATTATGATATCTTATCATAATTATGAAAAGTTACTTATCATAATTATCATACTCTGAGATTAAGAACTTAAAGTTATCATAATTATGATAATTCAAATCGGGAAGTTGAAGTTATCATAATTATGATAACTTATGATGGGGAAGTTAAAGTTATCATAATTATGATAACTCATGATGGGGAAGCTGAGGTTATCATAATATGATAACTTCAGGTTAATAGCTAAAGGGTGTGAGAGGAGGGGTAGGATGGGTTAGGTGCGAGTAGTGGTGTGAATGTAGTAAATTGTGGGAAGGGGGCGTGTGGGCCGGAGCAGGGGGGGGAAGGGGAAAGGTTGGAGGGTGGTGGAGGGTCGGGGGGCGAGGGGTAGGGAGGGGGGGGGGGGTGGTGAGGGTAGGGGGGGAGGGGGGGTGGGGTAGGGGGGGAGGGGGGTGGGGGGGGGGGTGGGGGGGGGGGGGGGGGTGGAGGGGGAGGAGGGGGGAGGGGGTGGAGTCTCGATTAAAGTTAAACTTATTTAATTCGATTTAAACGATTAATTGGTCCAATTAAATCGTTTAAATCGGACGCCTGAATAAAATAGTTTAATTGGCCTGGGCGATTTAAACGATTTAATTGGTTGGTTTATGGCTTGACTGGGTTTCCCCCCAATTAAATCGATTTAAACGATTTAAACGATTTAATCGATTTACACGATTTAATTGGGTCCAATTAAATCGTTTAAATCGGACGCCTGAATTAAATAGCTTAATTGGCCTGGGCGATTTAAACGATTTAATTGGACTCAATTAAATCGTTTAAATCGATTAAATCGTTTAAATCGTTTAAATCGATTAAATCGATTTAATTGGGGGGAGACCCAGTCAAGCCATAAACCAACCAATTAAATCGTTTAAATCGCCCAGGCCAATTAAATAGTTTAATTGGCCTGGGCGATTTAAACGATTTAATTGGGTCCAAGTAAATCGTTTAAATCGGACGCCTGAATTAAATAGTTTCATTGGCCTGGGCGATTTAAACGATTTAATTGGTTGGTTTATGGCTTGACTGGGTTTCCCCCCCAATTAAATCGATTTAAACGATTTAAACGATTTAATCGTTTAAACGATTTAATTGGGTCCAATTAAATCGTTTAAATCGGACGCCTGAATTAAATTGGAGTGAAAGGGTGTGAGAGGAGGGGTAGGATGGGTTAGGTGCGAGTAGTGGTGTGAATGTAGTAAATTGTGAGTAGGGGGGGAAGGGGAAAGGTTGGAGGGTGGTGGAGGGTGGGGGGGAGAGTCGGGGGGGCGGGGGGGGGTCGATTAAATCGTTTAAATCGATTTAATTGGGGGGAGACCCAGCCAAGCCATAAACCAACCAATTAAATCGTTTAAATCGGACGCCTGAATTAAATAGTTTAATTGGCCTGGGCGATTTAAACGATTTAATTGGACTCAATTAAATCGTTTAAATCGATCAAATCGTTTAAATCGTTTAAATCGATTTAATTGGGGGGAGACCCAGTCAAGCCATAAGCCAACCAATTAAATCGTTTAAATCGCCCAGGCCAATTAAATAGTTTAATTGGCCTGGGCGATTTAAACGATTTAATTGGGTCCAATTAAATCGTTCAAATCGGACGCCTGAATTAAATAGCTTAATTGGCCTGGGCGATTTAAACGATTTAATTGGACTCAATTAAATCGCTTAAATCGATTAAATCGTTTAAATCGTTTAAATCGATTTAATTGGGGGGAGACCCAGTCAAGCCATAAACCAACCAATTAAATCGTTTAAATCGGACGCCTGAATTAAACAATTTAATTGACCTGGGCGATTTAAACGATTTATTTGAGTCCAATTAAATCGTTTAAATCGCCCAGGCCGATTAAATTATTTAATTGGCCTGGGCGATTTAAACGATTTAATTGGACCCAATTAAATCGCTTAAATCGGACGCCTGAATTAAATAAGTTAATTGGCCTGGGCGATTTAAACGATTTAATTGGACTCAATTAAATCGTTTAAATCGTTTGAATCGTTTAAATCGTTTAAATACTTATTAAAAAAAGGAATGAGCTAAATAGACCCGAAAGGCTGCTCTTTCATATATATATATATATATAGGGTTTATATGGTAAGACTTCGGGCGAATGAGGGCTTTATATAGAATTGAGGTGAGAGTACCTGTTTTTTGGGGTTTATAAGGTTTATGTAAGGTTGCTTTATAGAGGGGGGCGTGGATGTTCTGCAGACGCCAATGGGTCCGAAAGTCCTTCTGCACGTCAGCAAAGGTCACACTCGACACGGCGTTCCTCGCCATGTGCAACTTCACAGACTGCATGATCTTGGACGCTATCTGCAGTTCGTCTTCCATTTTGCTGATTTGATTTGTTGCGTTTCCGGACGCTTGCATGAGGGAGGCGAACGCCGGGAATTCTGCTTGCACGTCGTGGTCAACGACCGTCCAGTGCACCCCATTCCTTATGGCCTCTGCGAAGGGCTTGTCCATGCCCTCCAATTTTTCCAAGCTCAACTTGCCATTGACCGTGAGCTCCGTGTCTGGGTGAATAGCCTCTGCGTACACGCACACATACACCGTGCAGTTAGAATTCCAAACCACTTCATGCAATGTATATACACGTGTACACATGAAGCCTATAAACAAACGATCATCTCGAGACAGAGGACTTTGTAGAGGAACGACCTGAACACCATGTTTGTGTGCGAGCCCATGACACTGGCGAAGCGGAGTCTCGAAGGATCCATGGGCGGTAGCTTGCCCTCCGACTGGGCCATCAGCTTCACGTTGAAGGCCCGAGTCTGATCACCCCGGCTGTCGGCCGGAACCTCTATGCAAACGGGTTTGCACTCGTCCTCGACGAAACCAAGATGAGCGAGACTGCTCACCAAGTCTTGCACGTGTCCCGCGGACACACCCAGTCCGTCCCTGTTTAACTCATGCGTGCCCACATGCTCGCAGGACAGACGTTGTTTGTAGGCCAAACCTGTGGACAGCAGGAACCGCATCAAGGACTGCATGCTCTGAACGAGCATGCCAGACTGTGCCTGCGTCAAATGCTCCTGGATCTTCTGGCGGGCGTTAGCACTGAGCACCATGTTTAGAGGATGTGCGCGAGCTTCTTGCCCTGCTGCACGTCGGCTCGCGAGCCTTCTGCCCTGCGAGCACTTCAGTCACTTGAGCAAACGCAGGCCGGAAGCAACTCAGATCGAGCATACACTTGGCATACACGGTTGTGGCGCTGCAGCATGCAAGCCCCGGATGCATGCTCAGCATGTTTTGCAACATGCGCTCCAGCAACGCCGCAACTTCAAAAAGGCAGCCTGTCTGCGAACCATATCTACATAGACACACTCAGCCTGCATGCACCTTAATAAGCAAGACTATATACTAAGGGGTCTCGGGGGTCTAGAGGGTTTATAAGGTTTAGGGTTCAGGGTTTATAGGGCTTAGGGTTTATAAGGTTTAGGGTTTAGGTTTTAGGGTTTAGGCTATCTTTTGTTGTGATGCGACATATCGCACAGAACATGGATGGGGATGGGGGTGTGTCTGTCTATCTAGCCATATCACCTATAAAAATATATATATATATATATACATATATACATATATATACATATATATATACATATATACATACATATATATACATATATATATATATACATATATATACATATATATACATGTATATATATATATACATATGCATAAAAACAGATATATATATATATATATATATATACAATATACAATATATACATATACATATGTATATGGGTTGTATATTTGTATAGGTATATGTGGCAAACATATACGGGGCACGCAGGTTCTGAGTTCAGTCATTCAGGCGGAGAAAATACCTTTCCAGAAGGTCCACCTGGTCGGGCATGTACACGCAGCAGGTGATCTGCGTCAGAATCAGCCCTGTCATGCTGCTCACGATGTGCAGGTGCTGCTGGTTGGTCATCCTGTTCGTCTCGACCATCTCGATTTTCAGCACATGCTGCAACAGCCGTATTGACACCTTGTTCTCCATCCCCATGGTCGCACGCACGACCGCCGCCCCCGAGAGGCACGAGCGCCCCTGAAACCTGCAGGCAGACTTGCAAGCACCATGCACCCAACGTCCCTATATATACGCACACATGCAAAATCAGCTTTACACATGCAGGCATGCAACACGATCACGCCATCCTGGCACTCGGCGTGGACGCTTATGTAGACAGGCGGTCCTGCGCACCTCACCATGACACGCTCCCCGGCGCCATGCCGGAAGATCTTCCACCGAAAGTTGGAGTCCTCCGCCTCCACTGTGCGTCTAAAGGGACGGTATCCGTGGTGCGGGCTGAGCTTCAGGTAGATCACCTCGTGACTCCGCGCGACCCTGGCCGTCTGTGTCCAACCCAAAGGCTCCCACAGCACGGCATCTGGCGGGCCCTCATCCCATGTCCAACTTTCTTCCAAAACGGCGTACTCCATTGCAAGTACGAGGACAATATAAAGATACTTCAAGTTCACGACCTTGACCCTACGAGCACACGCTGCGCGAGACTCAGTCGCTGCACGCATACTCAACCACGCAGTCTCTCTATACTGCACGCGTGCCCTTCTATGATTCCACTGCTTTTTTCATTTGTCTACATGTGCGTCGTCCCGATCTTGTCCTGCCCTACACTGTACCCATGACGAAAATGTCTCCTTGCCGAAAGTAACTAGATGCCCCCTATATAGAGAAATCCAACCTAACTATCTCTTGCCAAAGAAAACATAAACTTCACTCACCTGGAAAGAACGCACGCAGGCCCTCCTTGTCATATAAAGAATCTTCCCTCCTATATAGGTCCTCCCAAGGTCTTCTAAAAATCCAGCCCTATATCGCATCTCCAACTGCAAAGCACAAATAAAACGCCTCCTTGCCATTTACGCACACCCTAAATAACCTCTCCACCCCAAAACCCCCAAAACACAGCCTCCTTGCCATGTATAAACGCCCTATCTTCCCTTCCCACCCAAAATCCCAAAAAAGGCACGCTGAAGTAGATCCACCTTTATTTAAACCCCAACCTAAAAGCCGTTTGGTGAATGAATGAAGCCTCAATCCACGTCCTGGCCGGCCTGGTCCAGTGCCAAATGATCACCCGCACGGTCCGGGGAGGGGCTTTAGAGTAGAAGGTCAACTGCATCCACGGGAGGAGGCTTAACCACAACTTATATCTTGGTTTGTTTACGCTGGGACTTCACTCTATGCCTCTGTATGCCTACCCCTGGTTTGTTATTACGCTGAATACATGGGTTCTCTGTGTGTCACTCTGACCCTCAATATAGTGGTCCACGAAAAAGAACGAGTGCCGAATAATGTCATTGTGTGCACCTGTTAACTCTCGAACACAAGCTGCGAGGGATTTTCCGGGTAAGCGGAGCCCCGTGCAGGAATTTGTTTCATTCTCGTGGGCTGCAAACATAAAACAAAGGCGCCGCAAGGGACCGTTGCAGTATGGCGGTGCTTCTCCAACTTGTGCAGGGCTCACCAAAATCTGGGCACTAATGGCTTAAAGCCGCAAACCGCCTAAGTCAAAAGCCTAACCCACCCTATACATAAACGTCGATGATCTCTCCAACTTCTAATGCCAGCTCACCAAAATCTGAAGTGCACTAAGTCGACTTAGTGGACTTAGCCGCAAACGCCTAAGTCAAGATAGCCTAACCCACCCTGACTTGCCATAAAGTGTATCTGGTTACTAAGGTGAGTGTTGGACATAGCATTAAGTCTGCCAAGCCCTTAGAATCCAACAAACCCTTACATGACTCCTAATCATTTGCTTGACATCATAAACAGACACTATGTGCATAGCTACATCGCGTATCCCGTTTACAGGAGATGCTGTGTTTAAAGTCTGCTTGGCCAACATATATGTTGACTTGAGTCATTTAATAACATGGATAGCCAGATGCCAAACCTGCCAATCACTTAACAACCCGGCCGAATATCCAAGTACTGCGACACGCGGCCCCGAGCGGGCCGTGTCCTCCGCTCAAGGGCTCGTCAGGTTTTCCTCGCCCATCGGCAGGTCCAGCAAAGTCGCGGGCCTCAGTGCCGCGATGGGTGGAGGAGGGTCGAAGGGCCAGGGGCAAGGCAAGAGCCCTGGCCCTAAGGGCCGGAGGGGCCCGATGATTGACGGTGCAGCGCAGGCTAGATCCGACGCATGCCCGGCCTGGTTGCAGAGGCCGGTTCGCTCCGGGCGGCCTCTACCCGGTTGATGAGTTGATCGAGCAACTTGGCATCACCATCAACCAGTACAACCAGGCGGTCGCGCACGACGCCAACCAGCGGAAGCCGAGGTTAGATACCTCGCACGCTGGCTTCCTGCGTGCCTTCCAAGGCCACTCGGCCGATTGCGGCCATCCTATGGGGTTCATGATGGAGGGTCTAAGTGAGACCGCCATCAACGATCTTATAGACCGGTATGGCCCGGCCATGTGGCACGGCACGGACCTGCATGTCGTGCCAAGCCTGATTCAGAACGGCTTGATCCCCGGCGGCGGGCCGGGAGGCCGCCTCGGGGTGCACTACGTCCTAGGCCACTGCCCCACGCAGTGGGAGGACGGGAGACGCGGGTTCCGCCGCGGATCGACTTGCATAGTCGAAGTCCGGCTGGCCTCTCACTGGCCAGATTAGAGCCACCGGCATCTCCCGCATCTGGGCACTCCCCAAGGGCTCTCCTGTTTACTCGGTCTTGATTGCTGAGTTAGAAGTGGATCGGTTGATCCAGCATGTCGACTTAAGGAGTTTAGGCGACGCAGACGCAGACGCAGACGCAGACGCAGACGCAGACGCAGACGCAGACGCAGACGCAGACGCAGACCGACAGACAGACAGAGACAGTCAGACAGACAGACAGACAGACAGACAGACAGACACAGAGACACACACTGAGACACAGACACACAGAGACACCGAGACACGGAGACACAGAGATACGGAGACGCAGAGACACAGAGACACACAGACACATGTGAACACAGACAAACACACAGACGGACAGAAAGACAGACAAACACAGACACAAGACAGACAGAGAGACAGGCGGGCAGGTAGGCAGGCAGACAACCTACCTACCTTCCTTCCTTCCTTCCTGGCAAGCATTGATAAATTCAAGGCCTCTTCGGATGACTCAGGACCGAACTCGAGAGCATCAGATACCCCCCCCCCTCCGAGAGGGCCTTTTCGTTGCCCCAGACCTTCAAGCTCGACCCAGAAGGGTCAAAAGGTTCAGACCGGCCCGGTACACCCTACACCGCGGACCCTACACAAGACTTAGGCACCCTTATGGACCCCAAACCCTTCTACTCATGGGTGGCGCGTTTGCAACGTGGAGGTCTGGAGGAGGAGGTCAGCCAGCGGCGGAGCCCTGACTGTGGAGTTCTGCAGTGCAGGGGTTCAGGGATTACAGCTGGGATGCTGGGATTAGGGTTTAGAGTTGGGGGGTTATGGCTTTGGGTCGCGCAGAGGCCTTGTGCCCAGAGAGCAGGGCATTCTTTCCCGTATCAGAACCCTTGCAGTACTCGAGACCCTCGTGAATCACTTTGCATCGCGCAGTCTAACTAGTCTCTGTGAGGATGTGGTCTGTATCGGACCTCATGTAGCCTACAAGCCCAGTAGAAGCGGCTAAGTCCCCAAACCCCACTTAAGACCAAAAAAGGCCGTAAATTAAGCTTCCTAAACTCCCTAGCCTTCCCAACCTTCCTCAACTTCATCAACTTCCTAAACTTCCTAAGCCAGCCCCTCCTCCTCCAAGCCCCCCCCCCCCCCCCCCCCGCCCCCAAAAAAAAAAACAAGCCCTTGAACCCCTTCGGCCCAAGGAGCTGGATGACGGAGCGCTTGGAGCGCGAGGCGCGAGAAGTGGAGAGCCCTGGAAGCCGCGCATCGCCCCTCGGGCAGCATTCCATTTAAAGCAACTTCTGGGGCTTCTTGGGATTTGGGGTGTCGGGTTGAGGGTTTAGGATCTAGGGTTTAGGGTTCTCGGGCCCAGAGGTGTGGGTTGAGGGGGATGTGGGTGTTCGGCGTCTTTGCAGCAGCGGTTCTCAGTGCACACGT